AACAGACATATCATTATGGACTGTCCCCCATTGGGAAACTTAAATGTTGTGATTAACTAAAATACTGTTCCATCAAACTGAACTCAAACTCCCACTGCAGTCCTGTGTATCAGATTAATATTAAAAGAGCTGATAAATGAGGATTGGATGGATCATTTGGTTGTTTGTATGTCATCATGACCCTACAAGGATTGGTGCTCATGCAGTCAATCACTTGTTGATCTGAACATATTTACTTACTGTTTACCATGATGTGGATGGACTGATGCTCACACTAACTTGTTCTGTGCCACATCTGTACATGTGATCTGTACATGTGATCTGTACATGTGATCTGTACATGTAATCTGTACAGGTGGTCTGTACAGGTGATCTGTACAGGTGATCTGTACAGGTATTTAAAACATGAGGGTGGTGGGTTAGCCAAGTGGTTAAAGCATTTGCTTGTCACGCTGACGACCCGGGTTCGATTCTCAGCATGGGTATAATGTGTGTGAAGCCCATTTCTGGTGTCCCCAGCTGTGATATTGCTGAGATATTGCTAAAAGCGGCGTAAACCATACTCACTCACTCACTAACATACATGTGGGATCTGTACACGTGCTACACACTGTATACACACTATCTGTACACAAGATCTGTTCACATGCTACACACTGTATACACACTATACACAAGATCTGTACATGTGCTATACACTATATACACACTATCTGTACACAAGATCTGTACATGTGCTACACACTGTATACACACTATCTATACACAAGATCTGTACACATGCTACACACTGTATACACACTATATGTACACAAGATCTGTACATGTGCTACACACTGTATACACACTGTATCTATACACAAGTGCTACACACTGTATACACACTATCTATACACAAGATCTGTACATGTGCTATACACACTATACACAAGATCTTGTACACATATATACACACTGTACTATCTGTATCTGTACACAAGACAAGATCTGTACACTGTGCTACACACTATCTATACACAAGACACTATCTATACACAAGATCTGTACACATGCTACACACTGTATACACACTATCTATACACAAGATCTGTACATGTGCTACACACTGTATACACACTATCTGTACACAAGATCTGTACATGTGCTACACACTATACACACTCTATCTATACACAAGATCTGTACATGTGCTACACACTATATACACACTATCTGTACACAAGATCTGTACATGTGCTACACACTGTATACACACTATCTATACACAAGATCTGTACACATGCTACACACTGTATACACACTATCTGTACACAAGATCTGTACACATGCTACACACTGTATATACACACTTTCTATGCACAAGATCTGTACACGTGCTACACACTGTATACACACTATCTATACACAAGGTCTGTAAATAAACTCTGTACACAAAATCTGTACACACGATTTGTACACACGATCTGCACAGTTTGTCATGTCATCCAGTCATCAGTGAAGCCATTCATCACTGAAACGTTGACACTGTGTGCACTTCATGGCATTGTTAACATTTACTTGATGGATCATCCGACCACCACTGCAGATTCATGATAATAGCTGCGCCTTGATTACAAATACATGTTCCATTTCCTTCCCTCAACCAGTTGGGCCCTGACTCTGCATCATGTACAGAACCATCATTTCTACACACAACTTCCCCTACCATGGAGGGCGTTATATTATTACACCTTGTTGCCACACCTAGAGGAAGTATGCAAAGCCTTGCCAACTCTCTCGGCAAAGTGTTTGCTACACGTTTTGAATGTGATATCTATATATTTATGTTACTTTGTGTAGTTATGAATGAAGTGTGCCGATCTGCTGGGTGGTCCTGGGATATGTTAGGGTGTTCAGTCTACATTCACATTCATGTCCATGTCGACATTCCAGACAAGTTGTTCTTGGCCATGTTTTTGAAGTATGCCTCTATGTCATGCTGTACACGATTTGTAAGTGTAGACTTGACAATGGTGTCGTTGTTGGGTTTGAAATGTGAGATGAAAATTGTTTTGTTTGTTTTGAACTGAAGGACTTTTGGAGAATCACAGTTCTGACAATCTGGAGTTCTGATTTCATGATAATATTTGCCACAACCCCCAAAATACTGCAACTCGTGAAAGGTTTGCTTAACAATAGCTTTTTGTACATCACTTATGATTGTCTCACAAGGATAGTCATGTATATTTCATTGTTTAGTGCTATTTTCCTGACAATAAGTAAAACTGAAAACAACTGGAAAATGTATTCTACTGAATGTGCCATACAGGATTTGTACATAGTGTGGAATAAACTACGAGACAAGGGGTTACAGTAGGATAGACTGCAAGACAATGGGTTACAGTAGGATAAACTGCAAGACAATGGGTTACAGTAGGATAGATTGCAAGACAATGGGTTACAGTAGGATAAACTGCAAGACAATGGGTTACAGTAGGATAGACTGCAAGACAATGGGTTACAGTAGGATAGACTGCAAGACAATGTGTTACAGTAGGATAGACTGCAAGACAATGGGTTACAGTAGGATAAACTGCAAGACAATGGGTTACAGTAGGATAGACTGCAAGACAATGTGTTACAGTACAGTAGGATAGACTGCAAGACAATGGGTTACAGTAGGATAAACTGCAAGACAATGGGTTACAGTAGGATAAACTGCAAGACAATGGGTTACAGTAGGATAGACTGCAAGACAATGGGTTACAGTAGGATAAACTGCAAGACAATGGGTTACAGTAGGATAAACTGCAAGACAATGGGTTACAGTAGGATAAACTGCAAGACAATGGGTTACAGTAGGATAGACTGCAAGACAATGGGTTACAGTAGGATAAACTGCAAGACAATGGGTTACAGTAGGATAAACTGCAAGACAATGGGTTACAGTAGGATAAACTGCAAGACAATGGGTTACAGTAGGATAAACTGCAAGACAATGGGTTACAGTAGGATCAACTGCAAGAGAATGGGTTACAGTAGGATAAACTGCAAGACAATGGGTTACAATGGGATAAACTATGAGACAATAAGTTACATTAGGATAAACTACAAGACAATGGATTGCAGTAGGATAAACTACAAGACAATGGGTTACAGTAGGACAAACTATAAGACAGTGAGTTACAGTAGGATAAACTACAAGAAAATTGGTTACAGTACGATAAACTGCAAGATAATGGGTTACAGTAGGATAAACTGCAATACAGTGGTTACAGTAGAATAAACTGCAAGACAATGGGTTACAGTAGGATAAACTACAAGAGGATGGATTACAGTAGGATAAACTACAAGACAATGGGTTACAGTCGGATAAACTACAATAAAATGGGTTACAGTAGGATAAACTGTTACAGTAGGATAAACTACAAGAGGATGGATTACAGTAGGATAAACTACAAGAAAATGGGTTACAGTAGGATAAACTGCAAGAGAATGGGTTACAGTAGGATAAACTACAAGACAATGGGTTACAGTAGGATAAACCTCAAGACAAGGTAAAAACGGGAAACTGGAAAAATGGAATGGAAAAGTCTAGACTTCATAAAAAAAATCATTCATAAAACAGGAAAATATATTGCATCGGCCTTAAAAATTATGCATTTAAAGTGATGTCTAAAAGTTGTTTCAGACTGCACTTTCAACATTCGGCTCCAAACAATGCAAACTTGATTATATGTATCACTGATCTGGAGACATTCTTTCCCTCAAAATGAAAAATATAAACATATGAAAGACGAAAATATTCTTCATTGCCATATTCATTCTTTTGCTGCACATAGTTTCATGATTCAAATCGTGATAAGGGGGAGTTATATAGGCTTAAACATTATTAAGTTCTCTTCATGACTTCTTACAACCATTTAGCCCTTATATAATGTGTTGAACGCTGAGGATTAGAATTGTTTATCAATTCATGCATTTAGGTGATATGTTGAGAAGAGTTTTCTTTTAAGTGATGCGATGATCCACAATGTGGTGCCCTTGTTTGCACATTGTGCTTAGTGTGATGTGTAGCACAGAGACGCTGCAGTGGTTCCGCTGTAACTAGGTAATCTGTAACCGACACATTGACCTGCATCATAAAAGTGATAACAAACTCAGACAAGTGTTTTAGGACTTGATAAACTTGCCAGTACTGCCATTTTACACAGGCTTAGCGCCCCTTTTAGAATTATTGAATGAATCATAGGATCTGATACATGGGAGGTGCAGTGAAGACAATATACTCTGATACAATAAGTATAAAGTGGACATGTGGTCCCTGTATGTTGGCGCTGGTGGTCAAAGCTGTGGGCAGATAGCCAGCAGCACCATTAACCTCATCCTCCACGTGCCACCTGTCTTCCAGACCCAGGTGAATGAAATAAAGAAGTAGCACTCAAGTCAAGAAAGATTGGGCAAGTCTAGAATGCCTGAGACCTGAAATTAACATTTGTTTGGGGCTCATTTTGGATGTAGTTTTGTGGATATATATTTCTGAATAAGATAACTTTATTTCTGGGGCTAAATATCAATCTAGTGAAGGTTTCCCTCATACAGCTCAATTCTCACAATCCTCCTGTTGACATTTTCTGCAGATGAATTGCTGAATTTGCTGTTTTTAGAAGTTTACTAATATTGCTATGTTCTGTGGCGTTCATATTTGATCCAACTAAGCTAAAACAGTGGTATATTAGTTGGTAGTTAATTATTATGCTTTAAATACATGTTGCAGATTTTTGAATGAACACATGACTTACTTGGCTGTTATTCAAAGCAAAATATATGTAATATTTAATATCAAATTACTTCTTTACGTTTCTAAATAAGTTCAGGGTTTTTTTAATAAATAATTATGTCTTAATAATTCTTTTATCTTGGGGTGAAACACTAATGTATGACTTACAGAAATTCCCAGCAAAAGTGAACATTAGCAATTGTTATAATATATATATATTAAATCTGTATATTTGTTCCAGTCTGTGCTGCCCTCTGTGCTGGGTCAGACTGACACCTGCCTGTCATGTGACCGCAAACCCAGTTCCTGTCGGAAGATAGCTGGAATCTTCATGGTGACTGTTCTTTCCAAGAGAAGCTACAATCCAGTGGTGGAGATTCCAACTGGAGCATGTCGCATCAATATCACAGAGTTGGCGCTTTCTGAGAATTACTTAGGTAGGTGTCGAGAAAGTGTGAAGCCATATTACAGACAACTATCTAAGTATGTGTCAAGACAATATAACACAGGGCTGTCTAGGTATGTGTCAAGACAAAATAACACAGGGCTGTCTAGGTAGGTGACAAGACAATATAACACAGGGCTGTCTAGGTAGGTGTCAAGACAATATAACACAGGGCTGTCTAGGTAAGTGACAGGACAATATAACACAGAGCTGTCTAGGTAGGTGACAAGAGAATATAACTCAGGGCTGTCTAGGGAGGTGTCAAGACAATATTACATAGAGCTATCTAGGTAGGTGTCAAGACAATATAACACAGGGCTGTCTAGGTAGGTGACAAGACAATATTACATAGAACTATCTAGGTAGGTGTCAAGACAATATTACATAGAGCTATCTAGGTAGGTGTCAAGACAATATTACATAGAACTATCTAGGTAGGTGACAAGACAATATAACTCAGAGCTGTCTAGGTAGGTGTCAAGTCAATATTGCATAGAACTATCTAGGTAGGTGTCAAGACAATGTAACACAGGGCTGTCTAGGTAGGTGACAAGACAATATTACATAGAACTATCTAGGTAGGTGTCAAGACAATATTGCATAGAACTATCTAGGTAGGTTTCAAGACAATATTACAAAGAACTATCTAGGTAGGTGTCAAGACAATATTACATAGAGCTATCTAGGTAGGTGTCAAGACAATATTACATAGAACTATCTAGGTAGGTGTCAAGACAATATTACATAGAACTATCTAGGTAGGTATCAAGACAATATTACATAGAACTATCTAGGTAGGTGACAAGACAATATAACACAGGGCTGTCTAGGTAGGTGTCAAGACAATATTGCATAAAACTATCTAGGTAGGTATCAAGACAATATTGCATTGAACTATCTAGGTATAAGCCAAGATAATATTACAGAGGATTATCTAGGTAGGTGTCAAGACAATATTATATAGAACTGTTCAGGAAGGTGACATAGAGATTATTAACCTCGTGTGTTTCTGTATCATTGATATCATATATTAGGAATAAAAATTTATTATGCGAGCCTTTGGCAAGCATAATACATAATTTTTATTCCTAATATATGATGTTTATGATACGGAAGCACACAAGGTTAATAATCTCTTTATCATATAATGTCATTCTTAAAATCACTCTCAAAAAAGAAGCAAATCGTACGTGAATTTATATGAAGAGAATCGAGCATTCATGTAAGAATACTTAGTGGTACACCAAGGTGAAGGTCGTTCATGACGGCGGCATATGGTTGTGACTAGTCGCTAATACAGTGCAAACATAACTCATGCTTAAAATAAGATCTTTCTGTCTAAAAAGAACAACAAAATTGGGCAGGGTTTTCCTGGCAGTGTTTCTATTTTCACTGCGAGGTAATCACCTCATCAATATCAGTTTCTGATACCTGACGGAATCGATTCATCGTCAGTATTGTGATCGAGAGATCGAAATCCTTGGTTGGTACCTTTCTTGGCGATTGCCTTTCAGTTGTGCCTCATAATCCGTACCTTCAATTTGAATGAAATACTCCGTTTCAAGTCAATTACTGCAGTAACGACTCCATCAATTCTTACAGAATCACCAATTTTGAGAATGGGGGCAGCCATGTTTGTTTACAAACAGTGTAAACTCGCGACGACATCATCAATGAAATGTTAAACGTTTTAGGATTCGCATGGCGTGTATGGAGTTTTGTGAAAGTAGTTTGTGGATTGACGTAATTTGCATAGTTATCAGATTTGGATACCAAGTTTATCAGATTGCTTTATTGCACCGAGAACACCCTCCATTAGATGATAAAAGACAATATTACATAGAGCTGTCTAGGTAGCTGTCAAGACAATCTTACATAGAACTCTCTGTGTAGGTGTCAACACAATATCAAATAGAAGTATCTAGGTAGGTGACAAGACAGTATTGAATAGAACTATTTAGGTATGTATCAAGACAATATTGCATAGAACTGTCTAGGCAGCTGTCAATTAAGACAATATTACATAGAGTGTGCTCAAAGCGCTAACAGAGTTTCACAGTTTATTATTACCCCGGATAACCCAAGCTGCCTGTGAGGCGCTAGAGGGATATAGTCACATGACTTATCCCACTGGGTACCCATTTTCTGCTGGGTGAACAGAGGCAATTTTGAACAATCTCACTTGCCTAAGGTGAGATCACCTGTGCCACACTGGTCACTGACCAGAACCTGGTGGAAAACTCAACCCAGCAACCTGACTAGATCCTGGAGCAACCTGACACCTTGCCTGTATATTTCAATGAAGAATTACCACTGGACATGCAGATTTCTTATCCAGATCCTTTTTCTGGGCTGCTATGAAACTGCCTCGTAAAGTATTTCAGATTCTTGACCTGGAACTTCCCTGCTGAAGACAAAACAAAAAGTTGCACATGCAGAAGAAAACTTCCTGTTCCGTGTCTTTGTTACATGCAAGGGAGTAGTTCACCATCAAAGGTTTCCCCATAATAGATGATGGTAAAGGGTCGACTCCAGGAAACAAGACGAGCAGCTCCCAGCATCCCTCAGGACCATGTCTACAGCACGTCGGCATGTGTTCATTGTATCCACATCAAAGACGTGTCTCACGATGTTGCACAACTTCTGATAGATTGTTGCAGCATGTGCAACTCTTTACATCAAATAACAGGGTCACAAAGTTAAACGCATATCAATTTGATTTGTTGATTTGAAAAAAATGTATCAATACAATGTGTGTCCTTTAGGGAATTTTGTCCAAGTTACAGATGTCAGAACATGACAAAAAGTATGCTTCTTTGCTAAACTCAGCATGTTCCTGGACCCAGGGGGTATGTTCTTGTTTCCTATGTTCATCCAGGTTTCGAGGATGTTGTCAGCCCACCTAGGTGTTCCAGCTCCTGGGAGTTCAATATTCCTCACCACTGATTAGTGGCTAACATCTAGTTGCTAACGTTAGATATCAAATACAAGAGGCTAAATTGTGCTGACTAGATACTCCATACAAAATGCTAGATGCTGAATGCCAGATACAAGAGGTTAAAAACTAGATTCAAGATGCTGGATATTAGACTAGAAAATAAAGGTACTAAACAAACAAGGTTAGACACTAGAGTATGGAAGACAGATACTAGAAATTAATGGAAGATGTTAATTTAGTTGCAAGAGCTTACATATTAAATGGAAGATATTAGATAGATGATAGAGAATATATTTCACAATATATTCCAGTTTGTTAAAATTTACTGTGGAAAGACTTAGACAACCTAGGAAAATACAATTTTTGATTAGTCAGCAACATTTTTTTGCAGGTATACAGACAAGAGTCTTGAGGAAAGGTCTCATTATTCCCTAAAATGAATGAGAAAAAGATGTCAGTAACAGTCTCTTTTATTGAAATAGTGTCAATGGTCAGATTGTCAGGAAGTCAATTCCTCATGCAGAACAAAAAGTGGACAAGATGAATGGTATTGCAAGTGGGATCATATAGTAAACATATATCAATTACATTAATGGAAACTGGTTGGCTTGGCGTGCATCCTTAAGCGCAGTATGAGAAGGCTACACATAGTTTGGCTGCAAGGCTACGTAACACTTCGAAGGCTTTTAGTTCCATGTGGTCGCAATTATTATCTTTATTAATTACCACATGTCAGCTCATTACTGTTGGAGGGTCAGGGTGTGATAAATGTGGATATTGCAGGTATGTTTCATAGCAGACATGTTGGGGAGACTCGTGGACATTGCATTGTTGGGATGGTGGTTGTAGGTAGGAGACTGACAAATTCTTTAATGCTGACATTTGCAGATAGGACTGTGTGACTTGGGTTAGTTTTGTTTTTGAACAGATTTTTTTACTTGTTCTTTTTGTTGTCAATCAGATTAGAAAATATTTATTCTGTTGATTTATGATCAAAGCAAGTGAGATATAAAAGAAAAAGTAAGCTATTAAAAATTCCCAAACCACACAAAACACTAAAAACCCATAAAAGTAAACACACAAACCTCTTAACTTATTTGAAATTGAGTTGTTCATTCTGTCGACATGCTTTGTAATTTGAAAATGTATGTTTTGTCAATAAAGTGATGTTTTCCATTAATTTCAGCTGTGAAAACTAAAAGGTCAAAGAGCATATTCAACAGCTACTGGTCCCTTGTGCCGACAGGGCTGTATGGCGGTGCCGGGACGATATTCCGATATGCTAAACAGAGCGGGCCACACTGCCCTGGACAGTGTATCTTTACTGATGGGTCGCTCAATGAAACAGTGGTGGTTCAGGTGAGTGGGTGGGTGAGTGAGTGAGTGGGTGAGTGAGTGAGTGGGTGTTGGGTGAGTGAGTGAGTGGATGGGTGGGTGTTTGGTGAGTGAGAGTTGGTGGGTGGTGGGTGAGGAGAGTGGGTGAGGATGAGTGAGTGGGTGGTGGGTGGTGGAGTGAGTGGGTGGGTGGGTGTTGGGTGAGTGAGAGAGTGGGTGGGTGAGTGAGTGTGTAAGTGGGTGAGTGAAAGAGTGGGTGGGTGAGCAGAGTGAGTGAGTGGATGTTGGGTGAGTGAGTGAGTGGGTGGGTGTTGGGTGAGTGAGAGAGTGGGTGGGTGAGTGAGTGTATAAGTGGGTGAATGAGTGAGTGTGTGTAAGTTGGTGAGTGAAAGAGTGATTGGGTGAAGTGAGTGAGTGTGTGGGTGGGTGAGTGAGTGACTGAGTGTGGGTGGGTGGGTGGAGTGGGTGAGTGGGTGGGAGTTGGGTGGGTGATTGAGGGTGGGTGGGTGTTGGGTGAGTGAGAGAGTGGGTGGGTGAGTGAGTGTGGGTGGGTGAGTGAGTGAGGAGTGTAAAGTGAGTGAGTGAGTGTGTGGGTATAAGTGGATGGGTGAGTGAGAGTGGGTGGGTGAGAGTGGATGAGTGAGTGAGTGAGTGGGGTGGTGGGTGGGTGAGTGAGAGAGTGGGAGTGGGGAGAGCTTGAGGGTGGGTGAGGAGTGAGTGGGTGAGTGAGTGTGTGTAAGTGGGTGAGTGAGTGACTGAGTGGGTGGGTGGATGGGTGAGTGAGTGAGTGATTGAGGGGTGTAAGTGGGAGTGAGTGAGTGGGTGAGTGAGTGAGTGAGTGTGTAAGTGAGTGAGTGATCATGAGTGAGTGAGTGATGCAGATATTTACCACCGTGGTGAAATGCTCAAGCACACAGGTAAGGTGGTGACAAACCTAGAAACATAATGAGGGTGGACCAAGACTCGAACCCTGTCATAGGTTTCTGGCACGCCGCACTTCACAGTAAACTGCTGTATGGAACACGACGTCAGGAAAGTAATTCAGAAAAAAATTGTTTAAGATTTGTATGTTTACCTAATGCTTCACTCAGCATTCTTCCAGTTAAAAATCACAATGGCAAATACATAATGCTCCTGAAAACACAAACTGGCAACTGATATTATGTACAAAGACTCATACCACTGGGGAATGGGGTGGCAGCAACACTCAGGCAATTCACTGAAACTGACCACCTGACCCATTTAGTCCCATTTAACAACTAGTTTAGATTGTTGTTGACTTAATCAAACTCAGAAACCTCTCTTTGGACTCATTATCACAGATCCTTTTGAAAACAACTTTTAAAAAGTGACAATGTTTTTCCTTGCACTCTGTAAGGATATTAGGTGCCCCATGATAGGGCGAGCCCAGCATGAGTCTCTACTAAAAATAGATTAATTGGAATAGATTGCAAAAACACTATGTGTATTTATAATTAAGCTGAAGGAGTGCAAACGGATGTTGAAGAAGTCTATATTAAGGGGAAGCTGCTGGTCTCATTTTTATACCTTAAGTAGAAAACAGATACTACAGCTGTATGTAATTGGAATTGTCTGTGCGTAAGAACAGTTTACACTGCTTTTAGCAATTAGCCAAGTCATACACTGGCAGTGGTATAGTCAAGGTTTAGGGTTAGAATTTGGATTTACAGGTTTAGTGGTCACTGGCTGTATCCTTGTCAGGGGTATAAATGATATTTGCTGTTTGGATTGAAAATTTGTGAATTGTCCTCAATAATTGACCATTCTGCACACAGCACTCATCAAAAGCATCATTGTCTGTAGGTTCTAAAGATATATTTTCATGTCCACATAAAAAGTGAGTGAGTATGGTTTTATGCCTCTTTTTGCAATATTCCAACAATATCATGGCGGGGGACACCAGAAATGGGCTTCACATATTTTACCTATGTACAATGTTGTACCCACATAAAAAGACATGATGCAGTTTGGAAATATGGGATGAAAGTTTGGTTTGGTTGTTGTTTAACGCTGCACTCAGCAATATTCCGTCTATAGGGCGGCGGTCTGTAAATAATCAAGTCTGCTCTACACAATCCAGTAATCAACATCACGAGCATCGATCTAAACAATTAGGATATGATGACATGTGTGAACAAGACAATGAGCCTGACCTTTCAACCCTGTTTGTTGCCTCTTACGACAAGTATGGGTTGCTGAAGACCAATTCTAACCAGAATTTTGACGTGTCTGTGATGAAGACCATCTGTGTAATTATGTGGCTAGACCTTTAAACATTGCTATCACTTGGCCCTGAGAACACCATGTGAAGATAGGCGACAGTGATTGTTAGCATCTATTTAGCATATAATTAGATGCACCATATTTGCCGTATTTAGCACCCTGTGCCAATACATGCTTTCAGATCAATCATTTTTTAATCCATATTTGAGAAACTGACAATTGTTTTAGAAATTCTGTACTCATATTTTTCCTGTTGTTTGTTTCTATGGTGCATGTGTGTTTTGATGTTTTTCTTTGATCCTTTTCAGTTGTTGTTCAACAGCAAAAACCCTGGCATTTCATATGAGTTTCTGCTTCCAAACTACATTGCATTTACACCTTTTGAGGGTACATACATTCCCCAAACACCAAACACAGTCCATCACCGGCATCGACACAGATCACAAGGGCGGGGCCAAGGACGTCACCGTTCACGTTCAACTCCCCACTTCGAAGGAGAATATAACCCGAGTTACAGCAGCAGATCAGAGGGGCCATCTTCATCGGAATACTACAGACGCACTGAAGAATTTCGTGCTGGAGGAAGTGATGGAAGATACCCAGCTCAACAAGGTTCAAGGTCAGGGTCACAGAGAAACTATCAACCTGGTCCACGAAGAGACACATCCCCTCGTAGGTACGGGTACGACACTTTGGGTGGTCGTGGATTAAGTTACACGCAACAAAACAGAAAAACAGTTTCATCTCAAACAGGAATTCCCATTCAAGTGGCACCAAGGCCAAGATATGTTTCGCCATATGACCGCAATGGCCGCTTCACTGGCCACGACACTCTTGATTTCAATGCGGCACTGACGGACAGGAGGTATGTGCGTGGTCCAGGAGATGGTCAAGCCAGAAGTGTGGACAATGAGATCGGGACTCGATACAGTGGACAGCAGACTGTTCCGAACCATGGTGCTGTGGACAGGGTCAGCTCCGATAGTCAGTACATGTGGAGAATATCTGGATTCACGGACTGTTCCACGACATGCGGAGGAGGTGAGATATCAGTAGTGCACCTTTCCAAATTTAGTGATCTTAGCCATCCTGTGGACCAATCATTTGATAGTTTGTTTGCAGAGGGGGATGGAATTTTCTTTAAGTAATGAAAATACTGGGCAAAATATTGTGGCATGTTTTACCTGAAAATTTGTTTTTATAGGGAAAATGATAAGTTTTGGGCACTCGTTTCAGAGACATTAATATGCAGTGACCAAAAAGATATCATTCCTTAGAATAAAATCCTATACCCCATTGAATACTAACTGCCAGGTTCCTTACAGGAGCAGAAACAATTGTCAAAGTGCTACAATCGCTTTGAGGAATATGACTTGTAGATCTCCCTATGTGTAGGAGTAACATTATCTACTGCACCCATGAAAATCCATTTTACATGTGGACTCAGACTGATACTTGTCAGGGTGTCCACTTATATCTTGTTGCCTTATGACATCGGTGTGCTGCAAAACATATACTGGTTCATGAGCAAAATATGTTCATGTGAAAACAAATAATAGATAGATAGAGTGCATATAAGTATTCAGGTATAATTGTATAGTGTTACCTGTAAATTTGAAGGTGATAAATAGAATATTTGAAAACTCAAGCTATATTCAGTTTGTTTCTTTTCAGAAAGAACAGGCCAAGCATGTGGTCGATAGCATGAGCTGTAACCTAGCAACATTAACTATTGTAATATCAGGTTTAGTTAGCTCTCACAAGAATTTCATACATAAGATCTATTTTCCAAGAATCCCAGCAGGTTCTGTTTATAATGTTGTTTCTTTTTACATGCTACACTCAACAACATTCCTGCTGTATGACATGTGTCCATCATGAAGTAATCTGGACCATGCAATCAAATGATTGACATTATAAATATTCATCTATGCAGTTAGAACATGCATTATGTCGTGATCTTGACATTTTTATATCCCGTGAAGATCCGGGTTAGAATTGATCTTCAGCAAGCCATGCTTGTCCTAAGAGCCAACTAACGGGTTCAGGTGGTCAGGCTCGCTGACTTGGTTGACACATGTCATCGTAACCCAACTGCATAGATCGATGCTCATGCTGTTGATCACTGGATTGTCTGGTCCAGACATGATTATTTACAGACTGCCACCATATAGCTGGAATATTGCTGAGTGCAGCGTTAAACAACAACCAAACCAATGATGTTTAGATCCCCTACCCTAGGTTACACAAACCATACTTGTCATAAGGCAACTAACAGGATATCTTTTAGCCCTGTTGGGTGCAGTAGTAATAGCTGTAGGCTAAATGCATCCTTGTGATTTGTTTGAATATTCTCAATGATTCCATTATAACAATATATAATTGTTTTGCATCATTGGGTATATCCGGTTAAACATGAGTGAACTGTGTATCTTCGCCATGTAAGAGAGTGCTGAAGATTGACATGCCACACACTCTCAACAAGTTAAAATCAGTTCGCAGACCCCATATTTTTCACTCCACAGTGGATTCCTGCCTTAACAATGGAAGGTTTGAGACCAGTGTATTTTAACGTTGCAATCTGATAAAAGTCTAGATTAGCATTAACAGGTTCCAACGGCGGCTGAGTAATGTAGATTTCCGGCAGCAAATAAAGAAAGGAAGTGATCGAATGAGTTTTTCTCTGACACTCAGCACACAGAGGAGACAGAGTTTCATTCAAGTCTCACCAACTGTATGTGAAATGCAATCAGACATATGTTGTCATATATTTCAATATTTCATAAATGAATAGAGATGGCATCTAGGAGGTTTGGTTACAAAAAAAGGCATTATTTCTTTCCTTTAGAGGTTTTGTTAAAAAGTCTCTGAGTTTATGGAAATATGAATGTGTGTTTTTACAAGTAAGATCCTTTTAGTTGGAATACTTAGAACATATAAATATTATTGGTTTCCCTTGCCACATTTTTCTCCCAGTCGATGTGTTTGAGTATCACATGGGTGATTATATCATGTTAAATCTAATATTGTGAACTGTTTAAAATCAGAAGTAATTAGTTTTGTCCTTAATAATTTCACAGGCATTCCTGTTTCCTTTAAGATCCCAATAATTTTATGGACCTAATAAATAGTGAGGCATCATATTATATTTGATTTTGTGATTCAGTAAAATATGATCCACTCCCACTCCCCCTGCTCATAATAAATGACAGTTCCTAAGGTATTAATTTCACTAACCAGCTGGATTGCCTGTCAAATGCAATTTTGCAAGCACAATGATTCTGATGATGATTCTGGAAGTGTTTGTGTTGTCTGTCAACTATCAATAAGTTTCAGAAATGGTTTGGTAGCCATACTGATTAAGAAAGTATGCTGTTAAAATAACAATCCTGCAAGTATATGGTGTGACATACCCCTAGAGTATAGCATACAAGATATACCAAACCATATAACCCTCCAGTATAGCATACAAGGTATACCAAACCATAACAGTATAGCATAAGATATACCAAACCATATAACCCTCCAGTATAGCAGCATACAAGTATACCAAACCATATAACCAGTACAGCTCCAGTATAGCAGTACAGCATACAAGGTATACCAAACCATATAACCCTCCAGTACAGCATACAAGGTATACCAAACCATATATACTCCCTCCAGTATAGCATACAAGGTATACATAAACTCAGCATATAACCATATAACCCTCCAGTATAGCATACAAGGTATACCAAACCATATAACCCTCCAGTATAGCATACAAGGTATACCAAACCATATAACCCTCCAGTATAGCATACAAGGTATACCAAACCATATAACCCTCCAGTACAGCATACAAGGTATACCAAACCATATAACCCTCCAGTACAGCATACAAGGTATACCAAACCATATAACCTCCAGTATAGCATACAAGGTATACCAAACCATATAACCCTCCAGTATAGCATACAAGGTATACCAAACCATATAACCCTCCAGTATAGCATACAAGGTATAACCCTCCAGTATAGGTATACCAAACCATATAAACCCTCCAGTATAGCATACAAGGTATACCAAACCATATAACCCTCCAGTATAGCATACAAGGTATACCAAACCATATACTACCAAGGTATATAAAAGTACCATACAATATACCCTCCAGTATAGCATACAAGGTATACCAAACCATATAACCCCTCCAGTATAGCATACCAAACCATATAACCCTCCAGTATAGCATACAAGGTATACCAAACCATATAACCCTCCAGTATAGCATACAAGGTATACCAAACCATATAACCCTCCAGTATAGCATACAAGGTATACTAAACCATATAACCCTCCAGTATAGCATACAAGCATATATACCACCCCACAAAAACAGCTTGCAAGAGTGTTCACCCACCAGAAAATGGGTACCCGGTGGGATAAGTCATTTGACTATTAACCTTCTAGCACCTGGGTTGGGTTAGCAGCTTGGGTTATCCAGGGTAATAGCGCCCATCATGTTGTATGTGCTTAGAGCATGTCCCTTCAGTGTGTACCACACCATGCACCTGCTGAGTACAGCAAATATGATTAATATTCCCTGAGATTTGGGTGAAATCGATCATCACAAGCATATTGAGAACAAGTGTCTAAAGGGCTACCTGTCTTGTGTTATACATCACATGCCAGTAAGTTAAAGAGTCCTCTCTCTCACCGGCCTTATTATTTATTGTCCTTTTTTTTTTTTAACAACTGGCCTGTGTTTAAAGAATTTAAACATAAAGATTTGGTTTTGTGTGGAAAAAATGTTGTGTATCATAGGAAAACAATGACACCAAAATTGGCCCAGTGACAGCACATTTCTTTGCCAGCTAGTAATTGTTGTTGCAGCTAGCCAGTACTGTTGAGAGCTAGCTGAGCGTCTGTTAAATTACATCTGTGACTCAGGCCAAAATATGTTATGTACCCTCAGGTAACCAGCAGACCAAGATTGTCTGTGTGTTGAAGAGCTCTGAGACTCAGGTGATAGTGACGGAGGACAACTGCAACAACGCCATCAAGCCACAGCAGCAGCGTGTACCATGCAACACCAACCCTTGTGGACCAGCGTGAGTCAGGAGATTTTATGAGGGCTTCCTTAGTTTGTTGAATCACGGTGTGGGGCATGAACCATCAACTCAACATGGAGATTGCTTTTAGTGAGTGAGTGAGTGAGTTTTAGTGTTATGCCACATTCAGCAATATTCCAGCTATATGGTGGAGGTCTGGACCGGACAAATCCAGTGATCGACAGCATGACCATCGATCTACTCAATTGGGATACAATGACATGTGTAACCAAGTCAGCGAGCCTGACCACCCGATCCCTTTAAGTCAAGATTGCTGTTGTTGTTTCTCATGTGTTGTAGTTACGACAATCATGGGTTACTGAAGATCAATTCTAACCCGGATCTTCACAGGTCAAGATTGCTGTTGTTGTTTGGAGAAATATGAATGGACTATGTCATGTGTTGTAGGTGGGAGACAGATGAGTGGACTATGTCATGTGTTGTAGGTGGGAGACAGATGAGTGGACTATGTCATGTGTTGTAGGTGGGAGACAGATGAGTGGACTATGTCATGTGTTGTAGGTGGGAGACAGATGAGTGGACTATGTCATGTGTTGTAGGTGGGAGACAGATGAGTGGACTATGTCATGTGTTGTAGGTGGATGAGTGGACAGATGAAGTGGACTATATCATGTGTCATGTGTTGTAGGTGGGAGACAGATGAGTGGACTATGTCATGTGTTGTAGGTGGGAGACAGATGAGTGGACTATGTCATGTGTTGTAGGTGGGAGGGAGACAGATAGGTGGGAGACAGATGAATGGATCTATGTCATGTGTTGTAGGTGGGAGACAGATGAGTGGACTATGTCATGTGTTGTAGGTGGGAGACAGATGAGTGGACTATGTCATGTGTTGTAGGTGGGAGACAGATGAGTGGACTATGTCATGTGTTGTAGGTGGGAGACAGATGAGTGGACTATGTCATGTGTTGTAGGTGGGAGACAGATGAGATGTCATGTGTTGTAGGTGGACTATGTCATGTGTTGTAGGTGGGAGACAGATGAGTGGACTATGTCATGTGTTGTAGGTGGGAGACAGATGAGTGGACTATGTCATGTGTTGTAGGTGGGAGACAGATGAGTGGACTATGTCATGTGTTGTAGGTGGGAGACAGATGAGTGGAGCGCCTGTAGTGTAACCTGTGGTTCAGGGACACAGACCCGCCGTGTGGAGTGTAAACAACGTATGTCTCCCACATCCCATCTGAGCGTGTCGGCCAGCAAGTGTGACGCAGGCAGCAGGCCAGCGGTGGCCCAGCAGTGTGAGAAGGGGCCCTGTGCCAGGTGGAGAACCGGCAAGTGGGGCAAGGTATGTACATGCTGTAGTCCAACCTCTTAACCTCAAACTATGAACATGGAAACTATTGGATATATATATTAGTGTCAACAGTCTAAGTTCTGCTAACATTGTTGGTGCCAAATGAAATATCCAGTTGTTACACTCTGCCATTTGTATTTTGATCCTGAGACTAATGAAAATCTAGGAATTCCTACCAAGATCTGGTTGTACTACTTACAAAGAACGAGTCTGTATTAACCTTGGAGTGCTGCACTTCTCTCAGAGTACATTGCTGATGTGTGAAATGATATCTTATGTTCCACTGTATTTATGGTGTATTTTGTGCCTTTGATTCAGACCATCAGGGAATGGCATCAGCATTAGTGATCAGGGAGTAGTGGTGTTCCGATTAATTGAAATAATCGAAGATTGGTCGCAGTGACTAAACGACCAAGCAATCGATGACATGTTCTCATAATCGAACACAAATGATTATGGAACTACTGTTTTAGTCTTTGAAACATTTGATGATGCAACATATCTTTAAAGTTGTCAGGGCCTGAAAACTTGGAAAACTCACTTCACTAACTGAAAAGGCATGACTAAATATGTCTTGAAGACTCCAGGAAGTTTATGTTCATGATATATTAGTCATCACTTTAAAGTAGCAAGTTGCATCATGTTATACATATCTGCAATAACAACCTGGATAGGAAAATCTGAAAAATGACGCTAACCAATTTTTTTCGATGATTGTTCGTTGGTAATGAAGCAATCATCAATTGTGAGATTTCAACCAATTCCAAACACTACTAGGAGGTTGTCAAAAACTTTTAAAAAATGATTAAGATGTGATAAACTGTTGTAGACAATGAATCTGCCAACAAAGATTATCTCTGCTTTCAACTAGATATATTTCAGTAATTTTCCTATCTCGAGATGCCTGAACATGTAAAAAAAGATTATATTGATAATTATAATTTAAATAATTTAAATTCAAAGACACCATTCTATGACCAAAAGTAAATCCTGTTTAAAGGCACACTTTAGTCTTACTTTAACCCTTGAAGGAACCTTTATTTCCTGGCTGATACTTTGCATGTGCCTGTTTGACATGTTGCCCCACCTGTCCCCAGTGTTCCGTGAGCTGTGGGGTGGGGGAGCAGCGCAGGAAGGTGAAATGTGTAGACCACCAGGCGACCCAGATACCTGACCGCTTCTGTGAGGACACACCCCCAGTTGCCGCCAAGAAGTGTAATCAGGGCACCTGCCAGAAACAGTGGTGGACGTCCAGGTGGTCAGACCAGGTCAGTTCATGAGTGAGCAAGTGAGTTTGGTTTTACGCCGCTTTTAGCAATATTCCAGCAATACCATGGTGGGGGACACCAGAAATGGGCTTCACACATTGTACCCATGTTGGGAATCAAACTCGGGTCTTCGACATGATGCACAAACGCTTTAACCACTAGGCTACCCCACAACCCCTCATGTGTCAGTGAGTGAAGGAGTGAAAAAAAACAAATTGCACAGCACAGGTATGGTGCTGAGAAACTCCTCAGATTCTGGCATGTGTAAGGGAAGCAACTCTATATCTTGTAATATTTTCTTGTAACTCTGAAAGACAAGGGTCAGTATTAAGCCCTGCTCTCTGTGTTTGATTGAGGATACTGTAAGTATATATACTGAACCGCAAAAGAAACGTCACCCTACCAAAAATTTTGCCAGATATGTTTCATCTGAATGTTAATTAATTTTTCACTATATTTTAGCTAGACCTGGTTCGTAGCCAATGTTCAAGAAAATGTGGTTTCAGATGCTGTATTTGATACAAAAAACATGTCGTCAAGTAATGATGGGACGAAGTTTTTGTGCGTATTTCATGAAAATGACAATGCACGTGCACCCCGAGGTGTCATCCCTATAAGAAGAGTCACCGAACATGCACCGAATCATTCACTGTTCGACAGTAGTGACATGCCACGATTATCAAGGGAACAGATCGAGGGACCAAGCGTCAGGAAGACTGAATGCTGGCCAGACTGCAAGACATGTTGCAAATCATTTTTCTGTTCATGTTCGAACAATATACCGCCTGCAGCAATGAGTCCAAGCCACTGGAAGCACATCCGACCGTCCTCGCAGTGGAAGACCGCCTGTGACAGCGTTGAGGCAAAATCGGCAGATTGTCCGTCATCACCTGCAAAATTGTTTCGCTAGGGCTACGGAAACTGCACAGATAACCATTGGCAATCACCAGAGACCAATCAGCGCCGACACAGTGTGGAGGCATTTGAGGCAGAGAAACGTCAGATGTCGCAGGCCTTACGGGGGTTCGATCCTCACTGTTCGACATCGCCGTGCTTTCGTCTCCAGTGGGCCACACATCATCGGAATTGGCGTCACCGGGGTGGGCGAACTGTAGTTTTCTCCCTACGAAGCCGATATTAAGCGTCTCGACGGCTGATGGCAGAGTGAGAGTGTGGCGAGGACGCGGGGAGCGTTTTGCAGATGATTGTGTCCTGGAAAGAGACTCGTGGGGAGGTCCGAGCATAATGGTGTGGGGTGCTATTGCTCTCAATCACAAACTAGGCCTTATGGTGTTCCAGAATATTGGTCCTGGTAGAAGAAATGGTGTAACATCTGCCTGCTACATTGATCAAGAGCTGAGACCCTTCGTCGTGCCACATTTTGGTCGTCATGGAAACCACGTCTTCCAGCATGACAACGAGCGTGCCCATACTGCCAGAGCAACTAGAGACTTTCTCTGTCAACACCGCATACAAACTCTTCAATGGCCTGCCCTCAGTCCAGACTTAAACCCGATAGAACACTTGTGGGACGAGATTCAGAGGAGGCTCAATGATGTGCGACCAAGGCCAACAACTGCAGCTGAACTCTCTCAGGCGCTGTTGTCAATGCTCAACGAGGCAATACACGTTACTGACTTTCGGATCACACTGTCGCGCCGCCTGTCGTCATTTTTACTTGCCATTGTCTGAAATTCTTCTTTAAGTATTGATTATCAAACATGTCAATTTTGAAATCTTTCCGACAACTATTATGTAATTTACATGTGTTTGAATTAAACTGATTACCAATTTCAAAAAGGGAGTGACGTTTTGGGGGGGTTCAGTGTAGATTGTGAACCCAACCATTCCCTTAAGAAGAAAACATCCGGTTGTCATCCTTTATTTGATTCAGGGGTAAGTCTGTATACACTTGATATTGCAGTGTTCCAATGATTGTGGGTCAGGCGTGAAGACAAGGAACGTGATGTGTGGAAACCCCAACGGTATGAAGCTGGAGGACTCTGTGTGTGAAGACCTCAGGAAGCCTCAAACCAGGACCTCATGCCGGAGCCAGTCAGCCTGTGGAGGGAAGTGGTTCAGTGGACCCTGGGGAAAGGTGGGCAAAACTAGATAAACTGTCACATCTAGTGAGTGAAGAATTCACTCAGAACGAGTGAGTTAGTTGGATTTTATGCAGCTTTTAGCAATATTCCAGCAATATCATGGCAGGGGACACCTGAAATGGGCTTCACATATTGTACCTATGTAGGGAATTGAACTCAGGTCTTCAGCATGACGAGCAAACACTTCAACCACTACAGTCAAATGAAGGGACACTGATGCTGGTTGTAATTATTCATTTTGTAGCTGGTAATTTCTGATGTACAATTTCGCAATGATATTATATATATTTAATAAAGAGTGTTAGTTTTCATGGAGCTTCAGTCAGCAATATATTTTCTGTCTGGACAAGATGAACCAGTGGTTGATAGCAAGTGATAGCAAGTGATAGCAAGTGTGTGATGACACATTATCTGCCCGTTCACCAAAGCAGCACCAGTTATGTCATATGACAAGCACGTGGAACTAAGGACCTAGTCTACACCAGAATCCACAAAGGGGAGTTGTTACAGAAGGTCCTGGACATGTATGATGATGATGATGATGATGATGATGATGATGATGATGATGATGATGATGATGATGATGATGACATACTCAAGGATAGACATGGTCCTGCTACATGTCAGTTACTGTAGTCTAGCAGTATGACTGACTGATTGTAGGAATGTAGGAATACTCAATGCTCAATGCCATTTAGAAAGTGGTCAAATGTTACAAATATTTGGGATTAAACTTTTTCATTAGGCCAGACAAATTTTATTTTTTGTTTTACAGATTTTTGTCCTCAGAAAATATAAAGGCAGGAGGGAAAAAAAAAATCAAAAAATCACCAAATTGATATTCCTTCTAAAAACTAAAAGTATTTTACTTTTCGTAATTTATGAAGTGTATATGGGGCAAAAAATAATCTTGAAAAAATACGGCAGTTCCTTAAAACAAGTAATAAAATTGGTCTGGCCTTAACTACAGATTCTAGTAATTTTGTTAGGTTGAGTCCCAACTGGGAATCAAACCCACATTCTTTGAGTTTGGCCCCTAATCGCCAGCACACAAAGTCAGCACATCTAACCCACTCGGCCACTGTAGCTTACCTGAATGTAAGAATGTTTGTTGTTCCATAAACTGTAACTGCTCCCAGCATGGTGCTGTGTACTATTGATGTTGTTTTCTGGGCACTTGGTAAATGTTCCACATAACTTTGTACCTGCAGTGTTCAGCTGAATGTGGGCGTGGAGAGCGTCGACGTGATGTTGTGTGCATGAAGGTGGTCGGTAGCGCCATGTCTATAACTGTGGAGGAGAACTGTGCCTCTGAGGAGAAGCCTGTAGCAGAGGAGCAGTGTCGCACCGAGTCCTGTGGAACAGAGTGGTACATGTCCCAGTGGAGCGAGGTAGGTGGCTCATATATGTGTGTCAATTGTAGGAGGTAAGCTGTACAAGGTGTTATCTACTAAATGTGTGAGTTAAGAAGCAAATATAGGTGTTATCTACTAAATGTGTGAAGTAAGTAGCAAATATGGGTGTTATCTACTAAGTGTGTGAGGCATGTGTCAAATATAGGTGTTATCTACTAAAAGTGTGAGGTAAGTATCAAATATAGGTGTTATCTACTAAGTGTGTGAGGTAAGTGTCAAATATAGGTGTTATATACTAAATGTTTGAGATATGTAGCAAATATACTGTAGGTGTTATCTACAAAAGTGAGATGAGGTAAGTGTCAACTATAGATGTTATCTACTAAATGTGTGAGGTAAGTGTCAAATATAGGTGTTATCTACTAAATGTTTGAGATATGTAGCAAATATAGGTGTTATCTACTAAATGTGTGAGGTAAGTAGCAAATATAGGTGTTATCTACTAAATGTTTAAGATATGTAGCAAATATAGGTGTTATCTACTAAATGTGTGAAGTAAGTAGCAAATATAGGTGTTATCTACTAAATGTTTGAGATAAGCAGCAAATATAGGGGTTATCTACTAAGTGTGTGAGATCTATAAGAAAGCAAATATAGGGGTTATCTACTAAATGTTTGAGATAAGCAGCAAATATAGGTGTTATCTACTAAGTGTGTGAGATTTATAAGTAGCAAATATAGGGTTATCTACTAAATGTGTGAGATAAGTAGCAAATATAGGTGTTATCTACTAAATGTGTGAGATAAGTAGCAAATATAGGTGTTATCAACTAAATGTGTGAGATAAGTAGCAAATATAGGTGTTATCTGCTAAATGTATGAGATAAGTAGCAAATATAGGTGTTATCTACTAAATGTGTGAGATAAGTAGCAAATATAGGTGTTATCAACTAAATGTATGAGATAAGTAGCAAATATAGGTGTTTTCTGCTAAATGTGTGAGATAAGTAGCAAATATAGGTGTTATCAACTAAATGTATGAGATAAGTAGCAAATATAGGTGTTTTCTGCTAAATGTGTGAGGTAAGTAGCAAATATAGGTGTTATCTACTAAATGTGTGAGATCTATAAGTAGCAAATATAGGTGTTATCAACTAAATATGTGAGATCTATAAGTAGCAAATATAGGTGTTATCAACTAAATATGTGAAATAAGTAGCAAATATAGGTGTTATCTGCTAAATTTATGAGGTAAGCAGCAGATAAAGTATGATCAACTGTTTATGCAAGGAAACAGTAATTGTGATCAACCATTGAAGTGATGTAGGCAGCTGTTATGATGAAATAGTGGAGCAAACATGCAGCAAATGTAAGTATGATCAACCAATGGAGTGAGGTATGATGTTCAGACACACAGATTACACCCATCAGTAAATCACCATTTTTGCACAGAGCTTTGCAGTTTATACAGAATGTATATATAATTCGTGAACTGTGTTCTGTGGCAGTGTTCTGTGACATGTGGAACGGGCATGAAGACACGGCAGGTCAAGTGTCTTGACCAACAGCAGAGGAAGGCCAGGTCATGTGACCGCTCCCAGAAACCCGCGACCAGAGAGAACTGTCAGATGAGAGACTGCCGATTACCCCAGGCTACCAGAGCAAGTACGTCCAAATGGTTCTTCTTGCCAAATCTGTAGGGGTTTGCGGCACTTTTGACTTTTTTGCAATCCTTTGAACTTTTCTGTTTTGGGTCCGTTTTCCATTTTGGGTCCCTTTTGTCAATCGTTCCCATATAACAACATAGCAATCGTTCCCATATAACAACATACCTTCATAATCACTTTGGTGGTTTAGCTTCTGTATGGAACATACCATTTTGATGCTGCTTTTAATGGTTACGTTAGGTCTTTGGCTTATCTATAAGATCGGCTTATCTACGGTAATATACAGTACATTGAAAACATAATGTACTAAAACACCAAAGATTACCACATCAAAATTATGGCTGTTTTTTTATATTAAACTTATATTTTATATCAAATAGCTGTAAGAAATTAAATTGTTAATTTGTATCAGAGTTCACCCAATATGCCAGATAACAGCTTCCAGACCGGCAATTTATGCATACACCTGTTTCCAGGCCCTACTTGTCGCGACCAGTACCGCAGCTGTCACGTGGTCCTACAAGCCCGACTGTGCACATACTCCTACTACCGCAAGATCTGCTGTTCCTCCTGCAAGTCTGCTCACTCATGAAGACAGGAACCACAGTCGAGCAGTGTGAACGGTTGATCACTGATCCAACTCCTGCCAGAACAACTTCTCCATAGGACGACAGTCTGGGGCACAATACTCCATATGTTGTAGCAACACACTGAATAGGGAATACGATTTCATATTGCACTTTGTGATTTTTCGGTTAAGATCAGACCATTATTTTCTTGTTGTATGGATAAGCTAGACAAAGAATTAGAAAAGTAACAAGTAACCATATTTCTAAATACCTCATTTTCAAAAAGGTTTTTTTATATATTTTTTCATAAATCTATTTTGAAATAGCATTGAAAACATGTTTTAATTCATGCATTTTGGTATAAAAACTTGTGAAACAAGAAAGGAAAAGGTTCTGAGTTATAGGTTACAGCTTCTTAGCCAACAGAAAAAGCAGAATAATTATTATAACAATGTTAGTTTTCACATAACATGTTTTTAATTTATGCATTTTGGTATAAAAACTTGTGAAACAAGAAAATAAAGTTAGGAGTTTTTTGTTACAGTTTCTCAACAAACAGAAAAAGATTAATTATAATGGCAATGTTAGATTTTACGACTCAAGTAATACCTCTTCGTCCAAGATTAAGTAGAATTGTCCCGATGTTTCCTTATTTGATAGAGACTACTGCATGGAGACTGAATGTATGCAAGCACTGGTACGTGTACTGGCGGTGTGTACTCCTACCGGAACCATAGACTAGTGTAATAACATGGCAATATCAAAGTCCTTGTGAATACTGTACATACATACTCTGCATGATGTATATGATTTTGTCATTCACCCAAATTGAAATATCTAAACTGATGTGGTAAAACCGAATCGTTTTAGAAAGCTGACATCCTTTTGGATGAACTAAGTTTGCCTGGAGCTAATCTGATCAGGGTCGGATCCAGAGCTTGGGGTGGAGGGACCTCATGATTTATGTAACATTAATAATATGGATTCTTATATTGCGCTAAACTCCACACCAAAGTGTGCTCAAAGCGCTAACAGAGTTCATAGATATCACATGTGTGTTTACAATCCACTTCTATTGGACAGGTAGGTCTTAAAATGTGCATCCCTTTTCTCCAAAATCCTGGATCCACCCCTGTTGATTTGAATGAAACTGGAGAGTTTGACTGAGATAGACCGGTGATCACATGTAGGCGTTTGTTGAGAATTATATGCATGGCATGTCTTGAAAAAGCAACTTGCTTTTCCGTTATATGTGCTAGGATATATGATGGGTAAATAAAAACATCTTCTGTATTTCAATAAAAACTTGTCAACAGGTTGTCACAAAGCAACGAAATTTTAAATTATTACACATTATTTATAATGTTGCAACATGTGATATCATGCTTCTTAAATTTGTTAAATTTGGTGGTCACACATACAGTCCGTTTGAGTCAGAAACGGACCAATGAATTGCAAATTTTCTCATTGTACAAAATTGCCACATAAATATAAATAGTACACATGTTTATCATTTACTAATACCCAACAGCTTTCTTATATCTGAAAATTTTCCGGACTCCAAAAAAGTTCTTAAGAAACTATCATTAAAATTTTGACACAGTTCACTATTTGTTACGAGGGAGGAGTGCAGAGAAAGGGACAGCCAGGTGTTAGAGAAGCACGTGCACAAGTGCCCACCAAGCTATTGATTCATTAGCCTGTGCTGTGCCATCTCATTCCTTTCTCGCACACCTGGCTGTCCCTTTCTCTGCACTCCTCCCTCGTAACAAATAGTGAACTGTGTCAAAATTTTAATGATAGTTTCTTAAAGAACTTTTTGGGTGGAGTCCGGAAAATTTTCAAATATAAGAAAGCTGTTGGGTATTAGTAAATGATAAACATGTGTACTAATTATATTTATGTAGCAATTTTGTACAATGATAAAATTTGCAATTCATCGGTCCGCTTTTGAGCCAAACGGACTGTAGTTGATAGATATCCAGCTTCCATAAACCTGGAGTAGAAGAAATAAGATAGATAAGCTCATAGTCCTATACTTGTGATGCTTAGTAGGGTACGCAGGGAACAGTCTGTTACAATGGCCATGTTTGAAACGTGTTCTGGATGCAGTGTACAATTACTGGGTGTGATCGTAAGAGAGCCATGTTTCTCGTGCTTACAAATTCCCCCAAGGGAATGCATTTATTGTTTATAGTCAACATCTACCAAAGATTTTATGTACAGTCTATATTTATAGATTTATCATTTCATGTGATTCATGTCCATTTAGTGCTTGCCAAACATTCATTAATGACTGTTAGACATTAACATATTGCTTCTTTTGTCTAGGAAGATAGATTGTATATTTTGAAATGTGATTGTTGGGTACACGATGTACATGATCTTAAAGTAACAGCTGGTTACAACTGACAACACTTGTGATTCTGATAACAGTGGCTATCTTGTTTGCAGAGTTTGTGTTTTTGGAAGTTTGCTTAAGTAAAACACAGCCATTGATTAGCTGGCCAAGGGTCTGTGGTAGCAACAACTCAAGGCTTGCATGTGTTCTCCCAAGCTTGTTCTTTCAGTTGAAATGTCAGTTTACAAACAGACTAGTGGTTTATCCGTGAAATCATTTTGAAAAGTTGTTTGAAATACTAGGTGCAAGTGTTCCTGTGGAACTGTGAAGTCATGTGGTGTATTTTAACATTTTAGAAATATGTTCAGTGATTGTTCTGCTCACATACAGTAACCTATATATTTGTTATATGTTGGTTCGTTAGCTACATACATCTAGTATGTGAATCTGTATTGGTCAAATAATGACGTCAGAATCATTACTACCATTTTCTTTTAGTAGAGATTCATGAATGTGCTGTAAAAGCCATTTATAGATACTTTAAGGCAAAGTCTCCTCACCAAGTTCCAAGAGGTTAAGAAAAAACCCTTCAGCTATGAATGTTTATTCATGGCTAGCATAGCTCCATCCAGACTCAGAGGTGCATACACCAACTGGATGGAATGAGGACTGAAGGACTTTGCCATCCATTGGAGGAATCTGGCAGAACAAATCAAGGTTGCAAACAAATCTGGTGAACAAAATAATCAGTTTTCTAGTGGCCCAACTGTATAAACTCAAAAACAAAAGAATTAATTAAACCAGGGAGACTACTTGTGCCAACATCCAGTCCCCCAGATGATGTATCATTGCATAGGCCTAAGAGAGATGAAGTCCATATGTGTTCCTGTTGACTGATACTAGCCAGGTTTCAGTGAATCAAGGTACCTGTCACAACCATCAAAGTCAGACTAGTCCATATGTCTATGAGACTGCTCCAAAGCAAGCAATGTTCTGTGGATATACACATGGAAACGAATAAAGGAACACATGAAAGTACAAGTGTTCCTTTATTCATTGCCAAAATTTCACCAGCAGAGCAATACATACATTGTGAAGAAACCTGGAAAAGAATAAAGGAACACGTGTACTTTCATGTGTTCCTTTATTTGTTTCCATGAGTATATTATCATAGATGGGCATGGCCAGGGCATCATGTCTCTGGTCAAGGATGTCTGGGCACATCATGGTAGTGTCATGTTCAACATTGTGACAGATGAGGAAAGACATTACATACAATTATGTGATTGACATTGCAGGATATCATCTAAATAAGTAACTCCTGCCTGTTACAGTCAGAACCAGATAGACCACCTCAAAACACGATCCTTGCTTCCCCAAACCTACACTTTGCCTTGATGCAGGTATACATGTAACATTGGTTGGCCCAACAGTTGGAGCCGACCATCACCAACTTTCACAGTGAATCTTGCTTTGTCTCAAAATTGTGGTGTCATCTGGTTCGGATGCTGATGTCCTCAATGAAGGCACACTTTGTCCAGAATCAATCAACACAGAGCAAGGAGCTCTGATGATAATGTCTGAATGAATGGTCAGTGAAGAACCATGGGATTGCAAGGCCAGGAAAAACCAGTGATTTACGAGCAACATCCTATGTTCCCAAGTCCGGTAGGGATGAAGTATTCCTGCATGAGTTGTGGGTTGTTGACATGTTAATTTTCTTACCTTACCTTATAGTTGGTGGGATGGGGGAATGTTGTAGTCTTCTGCACTACCAATGATGATAGTACCTTTACCTGTATGCATGACCATGTAGTGTGATATGGGTGTGGATGTACCAGTAACTGAACAAGTATATTGTCACAAATTACACCCTCCAACTCTTTATAGTTCAGCGATTCAGCGAGGGAATTATGATTAGGTTTCTGAAGGTAATAAATTATTCATTCAAATCCTCCCAATAAGGCCAGACCAATTTTATTTCTTGTTTTACGGATTTTTGTCCTCAGAAAACCTAAGGGCAGGAGGGAATTTTTTAAAATAAAATCACCAGTCAAAAAGTAATATTCCTTCTAAATACTCAAAGTATGTTATTTATATTATGGGGCAAAAAACAATCTAAAAGCAACATTTCTTGTATGTTTACATTATTGGTCAATAATAACATTAGGATTTATGTTTTGAGCGGGGAAAATTGATTATATTTTTTTCCTTATTCTTGAAAAAAATACGAAATAAACATAAAACAAGAAATAAAATTGGTCTGGCCTAATCAACATATTGGCAAGATTCAAACAGAAATGACTTTTCATATAATCTGCAGTTAGACACTTTTCTTTGGAATCATATAGACAAGTACATTCAGAACTGTAGTAGTCAACAGTCAGCTGTTAAATGTTCGTTTGTATTTGTTACATAAGGTGCTGACTGACTGAGTTAGACTTGAACAAGACTGCTTGTATTGAAGCACTATATATAGTTGAGTTGGACGTGTCTGTAACTTTGTTTTGTTGTCTAGTATGAATAGCCTGTGTCTTGTCTCTATAGGTTAACGAAGTGTCCAGTTCAACTGTAATACATGTCTGTATTGGTGCTATCAGAGTGTATGTTTTATATGTTTATAATCATTTGTAAATATCAGCATTCCTAAATAAATGTGCTTCTTATTGTTAAAATATCAGAACCCTTGTTTTTTATGGTTTCACAAACGTTGAATAATTTAGCAGTATACAAGCTGAATGTTTGAGTACACACTTTGATCTTTGCTCTTTTGGTGTACAAAGTCAATACATGCTTTTGGTGTACAAGCTTAGTACAAGCCTTAGACCTTTGGTCTTGTGGTGTACAAGCCAAATATTTGACCTCAGTCTTTTGGTGTGCATGCTCAATACAAGCCTCATATTTTATCTATCAGTCGTTTGGTTTCCAATTCCATTACAAGCCTTTTGCTTTCAAACTTGTGGTGTATAACCCTATTTCAAGTTTGATGTACAACCTTGATACAAGACTTGGACCTCTGGTCATGTGGTGTTCAACCTATTACAAACCTTGGACCTCTGGTTAGGTGGTGTTCAACCCCATTACAAACCTTGAACCTTTGGTCTTGTGGTGTTCAACCCATTACAAACCTTGGACCTTATCGTATCCCAATCGTGTAGATCGATGCTCATTTTGATCACTGGATTTTCTGGTTTAGACTTGATTGTTTATATACCGCCGTCATAAAGCTGGAATATTGCTGAGTGTGGCGTTAAACAACAAACCAAATAACATCAAGCAAGAAAGAAACAAGCAAACCAACAAACGTATCCAAATATTCACCACATGGACTTACTTTCAAGAACATGTTGATGTAGTTGTATACGTTGGAGTGAAGTAACGTCCTATATGGTGCTATGTTAGAGTGTTTGATAAACATTCCTTGATCTTATCTAGTTTGCATTATCGTTATCGCCTTGATACTGCACAAATGAGACAGAAATCTTTTTCGTGGAGGGACACTCAAGGTATAAATCGTTATTAGTAAGCCAAGTGACGTCACTCATTCATGAACATTGTGTTGTGCATAAGTGTACCAATATACGATGACAAAATATGTATCTTTTCGTACAACATGTTGTTTCAAAACGTATAAAATTTGCTCGCTTGTTAGATACGTTTTGAAACAATTCGTTGAAAGTTAAATGGTATCTCACAGACACACGTGTAATAATCTCTTTTTACGCCATGCCACGGTTTGCTGAATATCAACATATATATGTCCGGAGTTACGCTGCAAACAAGAATGCTGAGTAAGCTAAGGTGCCAGGCGTTTTGTCTGTGGTACAGGTGTCTCGGGAAATGTGAAGCGACACTTGCTTTACTTCACGTTGTTTTGGATAATGTTGCATGTGTTGTAACAGACTTTGTGAGACAGCATAATATTGTCTCTCCAAACACGTCTGGGTTCAGATGGTTGGTTATTGTTTAACGGCGCACTCAGCAGTATTCCAGCTATATGGCGGCGGTCTGTAAATAATCGAGTCTTGGACCAGACAATCCAGTGACAAACATCATGGGCATCGATGTGCGCAATTGGGAACCGATGATATGTGTCAACCAAGTCAGCGAGCCTGACCACCCGATCCCGTTAATCGCCTCTTACGACAAGCATTGGTTGCTGAAGACCAATTTTAACCCTGATCTTCACGGGTATGGGGTTCAGGTGGACGAACACCTACAATAGAAACAGAGCTAGCCAGTAATGCTAGCACATGTAACACACCCGATGTTGACATGGTTCACTGATCTGTTACACCACCCCTCTGTTAGAGCATGTCTCTGTCTCCTGGTAACAGGTTTGGAGTGAGTGAATTGCGTAGTTTTTTGCAATATTCAGCAATAGCATCATGATTAACATCAGAAACGCACTTGACACGCTGTATCTATGTGGGAAATCGATACCTGGGTATTTGGCATGACTGGGAGATGCATTCTGGAAGGGAGTTATCGTTACTGCTATAATAACAATATTTTGATGCATCTATGTACTACTGACGTGAGATTAAAGGTCATGCAGTGGTAAACGTAGTGCTGCTCAAGTGGGAGTACCGATTGTACGCTTTTTGTTGTATTTTCCAAAATCTCTCTGGAATATTGCATCTGTGTATATGCGACTGAAAATAATAGATTCTGGCTGATCATGTAAAGCTACTGCTGAAGAGAGTCAGCTGGTCATCGAGTGGTAAATATGTACTGCTGAAGTGAGAGCACCATAAGCTACAAATGTAGTTATATCCCAAGCTAAAATATTAGTAACAATGTTTTACGAGGAATTTTTTTTATATAGTGTGCAATATTCAAAATGTGTAAATTACAAATTACTTCACACGCCCGTCCCTGTCTTGGTTAATTGAGCGACAGCTCAAACGGGGATGCATGTAGTAAGGTATACCGTGAATCGCTACAATGTCCATGGTCAGCCAACAGTGTTGGTGACGTCACAATAGATATGACGTCATAGAATGGTTCCATGACGACGTTCCTAGTCCAAGCCTCAGTTCTAGGCACATTGTCTTTGTGTTCAGACGTACATTTGCTGCTTGTCAGACTGTTACTGTTGTGGATTGCTTATAACTGACACCTGTGACCTTCATCACTTGCTAATAAGGTAAGCAAATGTGTTGAAAATACTACAGGTGTTTTATCTTGAAGTTCCAAAATGAAAACACCTCGCTTAATATACCTTAACCTCGTTCATCGCCTCTAATGGATTAAAAAGAATATTTTCATAAATTGGTAGAAAGGGAACAGCGCTGATATCACTTAAGTATTTTGTTTATGATTCCGAAATTCAACAAGAATATGTTTATCTATCAAACAGATGGCTTTGTGCACGGAAGGTCGTTTGAAGCAACGCAAACTTCTCTCTCCCATTCTCGAAGCGAAAAACGAGACGTCTTACATGTCAAGCCCAAGATCCACGGAACTACACCAACATTTACTCGGTAGGTCACGGTTCTATTGCATTTCAAGTATTTGAGGTGTACTCCGAATGACACTGTTAAAAGAAAATTGGAATGATTTTGCAAGTCAAATTAATTTGATAACTATTGTTTGTAAATGGATGTGTATTCAACACTCAACACGCTAAATGTACACTTTGTCTACGTGCCTATGTGGGACTTGTAATCCGATGTTTAGTCGTCACGACATGGCTGAAATACTGACGATGTGACGTACAAGTTGACTCACTCACTCTAAGATGACTAACACGATTCGTGTTTTGTTTTCAGCTCAATACATGGACTTGAAATCTCAAGTAGGCGATATGGAAGAGAGGTAAGCAGAAGCCATGACACGACGTCTCTATATTTTCCAGTGATATGAACAACTAAAAACATCTGGTACCCCATGTGTTCTCGGCTGTAAAGGTGTTTGACTATATACTTTTAGAATATACTTAGGAGACATTGCAAAAGTATACATCTACATTTGGATTCATTTGAAAGACATTTTGAGGAGAGATGTTAATATATACTCAGTTATAACCACGATAATTTGATACACTCTATGTCTTCTCCACAGCCTTCTTGATCATCTTCTCCAAGAAAACGAGAACCTGCGCCAGGTGAATGAGCAACAGAGCCGCGAGCTCCGACGTGAACAGGAACTGAGACGTAAAGCCGAAAAAGAGAGGGCCGAGTTCAGAGTAGAATATCTAAATTTCAAACTCAGTTTGACAATGGAGCATGCCGAACTGCAGGAACTAAAACAGACGCTGGAGGAGCTCACCAATAGCTGGGAGAATGAGAAACAGGCGGAGGCAGAGCAGAAGAAGAAGCTGGAGCAAGAGCTCAAGCAGCTGAAATCCATCCGGCGTCAGGCTCTATCTCTGACCTGCCAAACTCCAGTGAAGGCACAGGCCAGTCTCCCAGTCGTCGCTCCTCCAGCCCACCCGAAGAAGGCACAAAGGCCCTATACAGGAAAAACCAAAAGCAGAGTACCGGCAAAGATCCAGCCTGCACAGAAGAACAGGAACACCCCGTCTGCTTGTGGAGATAGTATGATGAAGACCAAAGGTGACAGAAAGATCAAGGCCACATCTGGCAAAGAACTCAGAACAAAGGACATAAATAGAGGTCAAAATGTATCTCAACAGTCACTCAGATACTCAAGAAGACTCCGCCAGATGGACTAAAAAAACTGGATAATGTCATGTGGTTACTGAAGAATTCCTTATTTGGAGTTTGAACATGCCTGTATATATTTGTAATATAATTATCTTTACATTTAATGAGAACATGCCTTTATTAGCAATTGTGCAACATTTGTTTGCTTTACAAGATGAATTTAAAACGTATTTGTAAAACGAGAATTGTGCCTAATGATGATTAAATGTTGTAACTGGGGACATACGACTTTTTGTGTTTTGACTACTGTCTTTGAAACAGTTTATGCAATGCCTTTGCTACTGGTGGGCGTCTTCATATTGTAGTGGATATGCCAGTCAACTGGTCATGTAATGGCACTGCTCAAGTACGTTGTACTGAGTAAGTAATAGTACACAAGTCTACTGACCGCCTCCGTGGTGTAGTGGTTAGAGCGTCCGCCCGGAGAGTGGAAGGTCGCGGGTTCGATCCCCGACCGCGTCATACCAAAAGACGTTAAAATATGGTACTTGTTGGTCCCTGCCTGGTGCTCAGCATTTATGGGTACAACAAGGACTGGTCGGCTCGGAGTCCGTATAATGTGTCTGAGTGGGGTATTCATGCTTCACTGCGGCATGGTATCTCAGTGGGCTAGCACTATAAAACCAGCTTAAGTCCGGTCTAGAACAAGCAGCCGCACATACACATACACACGCATGCACGTCGTCATATGAGCGAAATATTCTCAAGCACGACGTTAAAACCAATTTGACCTCACCGCACAAGTCTACTGATCATGCAGTGGTACTTCTTAAGTGAGTCTACTGATCATGTAATGGTACTGCTAAAGTGAGTCTACTGATCATGTAATGGTACTGCTAAAGTGAGTGTACTGATCATGTAATGGTACTGCTGAAGTGAGTCTACTGATCATGTTATGGTACTGCTTAAGTGAGTCTACTGATCATGTAATGGTACTGCTGAAGTGAGTGTACAGATCATGTAATGGTACTGCTTAAGTGAGTCTACTGATCATGTAATGGTACTGCTAAACGAGTCTACTGATCATGTAATGGTACTGCTTAAGTGAGTGTACTGATCATGTAATGGTACTGCTGAAGTGAGTGTACTGATCATGTAATGGTACTGCTGAAGTGAGTGTACTGATCATGTAATGGTACTGCTGAAGTGAGTGTACTGATCATGTTATGGTACTGCTGAAACGAGTGTACTGATAATGTAATGGTACTGCTGAAGGGAATGTACTGATCATGTAATGGTACTGCTAAAGTGAGTGTACTGATCATGTAATGGTACTGCTTAAGTGAGTCTACTGATCATGTAATGGTACTGCTAAAGTGAGTGTACTGATCATGTAATGGTACTGCTGAAGCGAGTGTACTGATCATGTAATGGTACTGCTGAAGTGAGTGTACTGATCATGTAATGGTACTGCTGAAGTGAGTCTACTGATCATGTAATGGTACTGCTAAAGTGAGTCTACTGATCATGTAATGGTCCTGCTGAAGTGAGTGTACTGATCATGTAATGGTACTGCTGAAGTGAGTGTACTGATCATGTAATGGTACTGCTGAAGTGAGTGTACTGATCATGTAATGGTACTGCTGAAGTGATTGTACAGATCATGTTATGGTACTGCTGAAACGAGTGTACTGATCATGTAATGGTACTGCTGAAGGGAATGTACTGATCATGTAATGGTACAGGTAAACGAGTCTACTGATAATGTAATGGTACTGCTTAAGTGAGTCTACTGATCATGTAATGGTACTGCTAAAGTGAGTGTACTGATCATGTTATGGTACTGCTGAAGCGAGTGTACTGATCATGTAATGGTACTGCTAAGGTGAGTGTACTGATCATGTAATGGTACTGCTAAAGTCAACTGGTCATGTAATGGTACTGCTAAAGCAAGTGTACTGATCATGTAATGGTACTGCTAAAGCGAGTGTACTGGTCATGTAATGGTACTGCTAAACGAGTCTACTGATCATGTAATGGTACTGCTAAACGAGTCTTCTGATCATGTAATGGTACTGCTAAAGCGAGTGTACTGGTCATGAAATGGTACTGCTAAACGAGTCTACTGATCATGTAATGCTACTGCTAAACGAGTCTTCTGATCATGTAATGGTACTGCTAAGGTGAGTGTACTGATCATGTAATGGTACTGCTGAAGCGAGTGTACTGATCATGTAATGGTACTGCTAACGTGAGTGTACTGATCATGTAATGAGTACTGCTAAATTCAACTGGTCATGTAATGGTACGGCTAAATTCAACTGGTCATGTAATGGTACGGCTAAATTCAACTGGTCATGTAATGGTACTGGCTAAATTCAACTGGTCATGTAATGGTACGGCTAAAGAATCTACTAATCATTTAGTGGTATCCCATGAGTATTGATCATGAAGTGGTACTGCTGAAGTAGTGCATTGATCACACTGAAAATATAAGCATCCAGTGTTGACATGGTTCACCAACTTGTTATACAACTCCTGTATAGGGAGGATATGTCTATCTGTCAGGAGGTATGGAGTGAGTGAGTGAGTGAGTTTCTTTGCTCCAATAGCAATATGCAGAAATATCATCGTGGGGAACATCAGAAACGACCTTGACACGTATGTTGGGAATTGAAGTCTATGTCCTTGTTATGACAAGGAGGTGCATTCTGGAAGAGAGTTATCATTATTTACAATTATAACAAATACATTTTAATATATCTATATACTACAGACATGAGTCTGCTGATCATGCAATGTTTGTTGTTTAACACCACACTCAGCAATATTCCAGCTATATGGCGGCGGTCTGTAAATAATCAAGTCTGGACCAGACAATCCAGAGATCAACAGCATGAGCATTGATCTGTGCAATTGGGAAATGATGATGTGTCAACCAAGTCATCGAGTCTCATTTGCCACCTCTTACATAGATCTTCATGGGTGGATCATGTAAAAGAATTGTAGGATAGTGTCAGGTATGGATTTTGTCAATGAATTTATGATGAAACACTGATTAGTCCAAATATAATGTTAATTTCAATTACATTTTCTCTATGAAGCACAGTTCCGTTTTGCCATTATCATACATCATCTTTTAAAGATCTGAGTTTTAACAAATGATTGTTTTGGGGAAACAAATCATGTCTCTGGCATAAAAATATAGATTTATTAACTAACAACATCTTTTATTCCAAATACATGATTCAGCAAAATCCAACATTTAAAACTATAACAATTTCAAACAAGCTCTCCTGTTTCATCTGAAAAACGTGATGATTAAGAAGTTTTCTCAAACTTGATTTGCACTGCACAACTAGTGTCAATAGTGATGTGACATGGTTTCATTCACCGACTGATTGCTTCATGGGACAACACCCACAAGTATACACAGCTTCACTGACTTATCTTAATGCTTAAAGACACAACTAACATGTGTCCATAGTTGCATTTGATGATTGCTTTGTAAGCGACAAATATCAATAATTTCATTCACTGATCTCATTGCTTCATGGGATAACAGAAGAGTATCAATAGTTTCCTTTGCTGATCTGACTGCTTCATGCCACAAGCAGCATGTATCAATATAGCTCCCTTTGCTAATGTGAGTGCTTCATACCACAAGCAACATGTATCAATAGTTTCCTTTGCTAATGTGACTGCTTCATGTCACAAGCAGCATGTATCAATAGTTTCCTTTGCTAATGTGACTGCTTCATGTCACAAGCAGCATGTATCAATAGTTTCCTTTGCTGATCTGACTGCTTCATGCCACAAGCAGCATGTATCAATATAGCTCCCTTTGCTAATGTGACTGCTTCATGCCACAAGAATCAATAGTTTCATTCACTGATCTGACTGCTTCATGTCACAAGCAGCATGTATCAATAGTTTCATTTGCTGATGTGACTGTTTCTTATCATAAGCAGCACGTATGCCGTGACTGTTTTATGCAACCACTGACAAGAACCAACAGTTTCACCTCCTGGTCTGGATCTTATAAAGGTTTTTCTGATAAGTATTTTTCCTCTTCTTGTCTGTCATGGTGCGGAGCTTGATCTTCCTCCAGATGAACTCCACCATGTGCACCTCTGTGTGCAGTGAGAGAACATGCTCTACCATAGCTGCATAGCCATCCATTACAATCGAGATGAAAATGCTGATCAGTAGGAACTGATACAGGAAGGAAAACATAAAGAAGAACAAAGGACCTAAGGTCTTACTTGCTGATTCAAGTCCAAAATAATCTGATGCTCCTAAAGCAAAATTGAACAATGTTATAACGCTTTCACCAAAGTTACTGTACTCCTGTAGTTCAGTGGCAAACACTAACAGGCTAAAACATGAAAAGGCCATTGTGTACAAGAAAACTTTGATAAAAAACTGAAATAAGATGCCTTTACAGCGTTTTAAAGCTCCAGCCAAGATGGACATTCTTAAGTTAAATCGAAGCAGTTTGAAGAATTTAAGAATGATGAACACTGACAATGCTGCCATGACATACTGCAGGATAATGTCAGATGAAGCAGCAGGGTAGAAGCTGACAAAGGACTGTCCCATGGACTCTTTATAGAGTTTGATGGAGTAGTCAACAGTGACGATCCTCTGTATGAACAGCCCGAACACAGTGTAGGACAGAGTAAGGATGATGACCTCAACGTAACTCCAGGTGTCCTTGAAGTAATCAGATGCAGACATCTGTCTGTACTTCTTGATTTCCAGGTATGTGAAAATAATGACATATATGAGAAACACAGCTTCACACACTGCCACAAACTGTTCAAACCCCCCAGTATAGTGATAGAGCTTTGATGTGAAGATCTGGTAGTATGGAAACACACCTCCAAAGTTGGAGAATTCGAACACTAGGATGACTACACTGATCAGGTTAGTATTTGGATTATAGAGACTGAATTCCACAAACACAGCCCGAGTGTATTGATCGATCCAGTCTGAACTTTGAATGTCGTCCATGGCACCTCTGGCACTGTCTGGTAATCTAGGCAGCTCTTGGACGTAGCCGCCACCGGAGTAGGTGGCAAGCTTGCCAACAAATGGTATAGTGACCAGCTGGAAAGAAGAGCGGTAGGTGTACATTGTGGATGTGTCAGTGGTGGACACAGGCTGGGACCAGGAGGTGTTGTAGTGACCAGTCTCTTCATCTGACATGGAATATGGGCCTGTACAGGAGACGGATGCAAACTTCTTCATAATGGCTGGATAGGAACATGTACCTGCAACAAACATAACATGGCTAAAAATATTTTATGTACCAATCTTTAAGTAATCTGTATGCCCCATACTGATATTTTATATTGTGTAAGAGATGTTACACAGAAAACAGATGTAATGATATAATTTATCAATAACTATTGTTTAAAAGAATTCCTAAGTTTGAACTAAGTCTGTTAACTAATCTTTGTAAATAACAATGTAATGAGGAAATATGTACTTAAAGAAACTACCTTGTACTACCTAAAATGTGTATGTGTGTAGACTTGGTCTGGTCACTATATGGATGAAACAATGCTGTTGTGACGTGAAACTTCAACTAAAACTAAACTTTAAGAAATAACTTTATTTTTATAATATTTAACAGGGGTTGAAAGATAATAGCCCAACACCCGGGTCGAGTGGAATTCTCTGGTCAGTCAAGTAAATATCCATATTAAACTTTACCGAGGCACAGTAGTGCCAAACTACTGAAATGTTTTGATATATGTATTTTGATGATGAAATATAAATGCAATTGCTACCAATGATAAAGATTATTTGCAAAAGAAACCAAATTGTTAATCGTGCTCAAGTGAAATTAATATTTGGTCAAGTTGATTTTGAAAGTTTACAGGACCTGTGTCCAGTGGAGTTTTGAAAAAAATGTCAATCCATGTTAAATACTAATGTATATCTTGTTTTAGTCACGGTATGACTGAAATATTGCCTATGTGACTCTAAATCTTAACGCACTCACTAACTACCATTCAGTCATTTAAAACAAATTTAATTTGTGTATGGCTATAATAGGCAACCCCAATTTGTCAAATATGTAAGTGCACAGGGCAAATACTGTTATCCTAGACAAAAGACTATATGGAATTCTAATTGGAATGGATGTCAGGAAATATATTGTGTTTGACTTCTGGATCACCACTCTACAATTTAATATTTTTTTTCACTTGAAATAAACCTTAGATCCTAAGGAACTACAAAGGCGATACTGACATTGACAAGTTTGAAACTAACCAATGAGTTTCCCAAGGTGTGTGGTCCATGGAGTCATTTTTTTTGCTATTTTCATAATACATATTTCTTTGGCTTTACTACAATGTGAAATCCACAGTGGTTAAGGTTGCATCCAACATCTGTTGCTGTCTCTAAACTCAGTGTGATGCATGTCAAGTGAACATCATGTACCAGGTTTCAGTCTAAGCTGCCTCAGTCGAGCTTTTCCGAGAAGGTAGGAAGCTTGGCAAGATGTTGGAGAGGCAGGATCAGTGCCTGACACAAGGTTGTCCAGAAAGTCCCCCCTGTAGGTACTCCCACATGGATTCTACTGTGGACACCTGGAACAACATCATCTACTACTGACATCTGGGGAAGCAAGGTTAAAATAGAGGTTCGCAACAACCTCGGCTTGTAAGAGGCCCCTGAAAGTGTTAGGAATCACTTGTCTGTACTGGAGGCACATCACCACAATGCATAAATATTCAAGTTTGGATTAGACAAATTAGATATTATTATAAGCAATCCCACACCAATCTGGTAAGATGACATAGAGTTCCTGAGCTGACCATCTGATGTATCAGTTCCACAAGCGTAGGGTCCACCTCCGGTCTAGTGGATGGAGTACGTGCCTTGAGGTTGGAAACTCTGGGGTTCAAAGTCTGGCCACCTCATACCAAAAGACACTAGAAGATGACACTAATTGGTAAAGGTTGGTTGGTTTGTTGTTTAACACCACACTCAGCAATATTCCAGCTATATGGCGGCGGTTTGTAAATAATCGAGTCTGGACCAGACAATCCAGTGATCAGTATCATGAGCATCGATCTACGCAATTAAGATTGTTAAAGGGATAAAACAAGAGCGGTCAGCTTGGAGTCAGTATACTGATAGTGGGCTGTTCCTGTTAAGACTGAAACATGCTGAATAAGTGGGCTGTTGCCATAAAAATCCTGACAAGTACAATGAGTTACACTCACATTTGCATGTTGCTATACATGTGCAAAACTCTTGAATGTTACATTAAATCTCATTTCACCTCACCTGCAAGCACAGGTTACTTGGGACATGTTTTAACCCACAATTCCCAAGGAATTATCACTCATTTTAAACCATATTGTATACAACCCATGTAAATGATAATCACAAAAGTCACTGTTTTGTAATCAGGTATTAGTACAAGTTGTACTTTGTTCTCTTGGTTATTCTCATAGGACTAAAAGAAAGTAAATGTAATGAATCCATGATATTCAGAATCAGTTGTGTAGGGGAGATTACTCACATCTTCACTTTCATGAGATGTTTGTTACAGAAGAGAAAGAGAAATGAAATGGAGTAAAAAGGTCTGGGCGCATCTAATAATGTATAACAGCTTTGTGGGGCATATTATCAATAAAATTGGATTGTTTTTCTTTTTAGATGAGATGAGTAAAGTCTGTTTCGTTCTACCATCATGTAGAAATACATGCATAGCAGTGTTCAAAACTATGGGGACTCTTGGGACCACTGAGTGTGGTATATCAACTTAAACGAAGGAGCGAGTGAGTGAGTGAGTGTGACTATGATTTTGTGCCAATTTTAGAATTATTCCTGCAAGATCACAATGGGGACACCATAATTTCAGACGTTGAGCCTTTGTTGGGAAATGAAACCAGGTCTTTGTAATGACAAACCACCCCTTTAAACACTGGCCTTCCCCACCACCTACTTTAATTCAGCACCTTAGTAATAGGTTTAAGAGAAGGCACCCTTGACATTCATGCTCAATTTTGAAAACTGACAAAACTGAAACATAAAAGAAATGTCTATGCAATCCACCTCACTAAATCCTGTGTCCTCTGTGAACATATTCTCTGTGGTGTGAGTGACCCTGTATGCCATGTTGATGTTCCTGTGGCCGTGGATCATCAGTAAGACTATTGCCACAAAGGTGAAGTACAGACAAATCTCATACAGTATCATCCTAGCACGGTTATCAAGCTGGATTCTTTTACGAATTTCCCGCAGTGCTCGTGTGGACAGAGGAGGTGTATAATATCGCTGATGATCAGACACTTCCGATGCAGTTTGTGCTGCCACCTTCTCTTTCAACTTCTCCACCTCCTCCTCTACAACATGAAAAGAATCAAAGTATCAGTCAGATTGGTGATAAATGCAGCTTTTGTGAACAAATGCAATATAGTGTACTTTCCTGGTTAAATTGTCTTTTGAGAAAGTGTGGTAGTAGTTAAAGTGTTTACATGTCATCAAGACTAGTGTTGGGAATCGGAAACCAAAATCCACTATCGATTATCGGGGACTTGTTGTGAACGATTATCGATCATAATCGAAATATATACATTTTTAATGTAATCACCAATTTTAAGGGATTTCCCCAGTTTTTTTCTAATTAATGCTAATATAACTATTCTGCTTATTATACAACAAATATTTATCAGTATATCTCATTACGTTCAAAATAGATGAAAAAAAATATTTCACAGACAGCGGTTACAGTAATATTTACTGTAGTGATGAATACAAAACTATGAATACAATGCACACAGCTTTATGCTGTTGAGCGCAAGTTTGTTCATGAATATTCATCAAATTTAATGTTTAGTTTACTTCCTTCAAGTGGGTTACACTAAAACAACAAAATTCTGATTACTTGAAAATATGTTTTTTACAATCAATAATTATTTTTAATCCTTCTTTCGATTGATTTTCGGTTATTTTCGATCATTGGAACACCACTATTCAAGACACTGTTTAGATTTCAACATTGCTAGATGAACTCTGATATTGTACTGCATAAAGTGGCATCAAATCTTACTCCCTTTAGAGAAGCAGTTTGCCACTTGAACAACGAGTAAATTTGTGCTTGGTTTAGTAAGCTCACCTAATAATGGTCCACATTGGAATAAAATCTTATGAATGATAAGAAACCTCAGATTTGAATTGTTTTTCTTGTAAGCAAACTTTAAAACAATCCTATATTGATCATAAACCCCACAACCATAATGATGAAACACTGTTGAGAAACACTCCATATTACAAAATGCATCCACTACACTTACCTGCATCTTCACTGGAAGTCCAGCTGTCATAATTCACTGGTCGCTTGAGTATTTGAGTGAGGAGCGCTGCCACGATGACCACCTTAATTGGTTGAGTGATCATGGCGCTCTGTGTGAAGGCAATGAAGAAAGACACCAGAAAGTCCACACTCTTCTGGTAGCCGTACTTGAGGCCGTACAGCATTATGAAGTATGAGCAGATGATGCAGGTAGCCAAGGCCAATGTCCAGGCAACGTACAGGAACCACAAGGGAAAACTGTAACACAAGGACCTTGGTAGGAAGTGACCATTGGATGTTCTCTGGGGGCAGGGACTGGGACTTGGTATGGAGACTGGACAACATAGCTGCACAACAACATTTTTATATTATAACTTAAATCCTGAATATTTGTTTTTGCAAAAATTCATTGTGCAACACTGAATCCTTGTATTGTTTCCTCACAATTTTGTGGCTGACTAAAATATGCTCTGTTATTTTTATATCAACTGATAGCTTTCACCTAGTAGGAACTAAAATAGCATTCTTTTTTAAATTTTGTTTCTTCTCAAAAATACAAATATAAACTATGCCTAGGAATTTTGGGTTTTCAAATGGCATGTCACAAAAATAACCCATTTCCCCCCATTATTAAAAACCATATTCACTTAGCACAGTCAGGTCCTTAGAGAGAAGTCTATATGGATGGGTCAAAATAAGCACCCAGTTTGCCTAGGCGTTTGTCAGAACCATGTTTAAACTTGTGAATTTCTCCCACATTATACAACAGCTGGAATCATGGTTACTCTGACTGAAATACTAATCTTGTGGGATACTGTTTTGATTTAGTATTGTTTTGCTCACAATAAATAATCATGTGTCTTTGCATTGTTTAGTACACTATCAGTTACATCATGTTCACATTTTACATATTTACACCATGCATGTATTGTTTAGTACACTATCAGTTACATCATGTTCACATTTTACATATTTACACCATGCATGTATTGTTTAGTACACTATCAGTTACATCATGTTCACATGTTTACTCATTTACACCATGCATGTATTGTTTAGTACACTATCAGTTACATCATGTTCACATATTTACACCATGCATGTAAGGTTTAGTACACTATCAGTTACATCATGTTCACATTTTACATATTTACACCATGCATGTATTGTTTAGTACACAATCAGTTACATCATGTTCACATGTTTACGTATTTACACCATGCATGTATTGTTTAGTACACTATCAGTTACATCATGTTCACATATTTACACCATGCATGTATGGTTTAGTACACTATCCGTAGTTACACCATTCATGTATTGTTTAGTACACTATCAGTTACATCATGTTCACATATTTACACCATGCATGTATTGTTTAGTACACTATCAGTTACATCATGTTCACATATTTACACCATGCATGTATTGTTTAGTACACTATCAGTTACATCATGTTCACATATTTACACCATGCATGTATGTATTGTTTTAGTACACTATCAGTTACACTACATCATGTTCACATATTTACACCATGCATGTATTGTTTAGTACACTATCAGTTACATCATGTTCACATGTTTACGTATTTACACCATGCATGTATTGTTTAGTACACTATCAGTTACATCATGTTCACATATTTACACCATGCATGTATTGTTTAGTACACTATCAGTTACATCATGTTCACATATTTACACCATGCATGTATTGTTTAGTACACTATCAGTTACATCATGTTCACATATTTACACCATGCATGTATTGTTTAGTACACTATCAGTTACATCATGTTCACATATTTATGTATTTACACCATACATGTATTGGATAGTACACTATCAATTACAATTGACATCATGTTCACATGTTTCTGTGTTTACAGCAAGAGGAAAACTGAAATACAACCATTTTGTCCGGAGTCATCCAGAGTATAAAAAGTTTGTAGTTTTTCACAGTGGCCATTATATTGTAAGCATGTTAGAGAAGAGGAAAAGAAGAAAAAGAAAAGAAATACTTTACACTTAAATTTTTAATTGTTGGTTTTCTTAATGACATTTCCTCAAATAATTATAGTCATTTGTGTTTTTCTATGTTTCTTATTCTTCAAAAAGATCATCGTGTACAGGGTTTATATCTACAAATGCTAAAGCGTATGTTTTGTCATTCGAGGCAGCAACAAAAACTGTCTAACTTCCAAGACCTCAATATATGTATTGTGTTTAAGTCAATGTTTACAGACACCATACACTAATAACATCAAGCATCCATCAGTTGACGAATGAAATACCTGAATGGCTTTTTCACTTTTTTCTTTGTTCCTACTGACTTTGCTGTACTGCCATTACTCCTTCCACGTGACATTGCTAGGTCCACTTCATCTGTGCCTGCTTTTACGGAATCCAACGTATCAGTCCTTTTTGCTTTAGATCCAGTTGACTCAGATTCAATCACCATTTCAGAAGACTGTCTTTGAAAACAGCACTTCAGATCTTTGCACTTAGATTCCTGTGACACTGGCTCTGTTTCTGTGTTACATATACCAAGCTCTATGTCTTCTTCATGAACCGCTTCCTTTCCAGTTTTATTTGTATCATCCCTATCATCTTCTTCCTTTGGGGGAGATTCAGAATTTGGCGCTACTTTAAGAGCTGTCCGAGTAAAGAACTGAAGGAGGATTGTATTGATGGGGAACATCAGCAAACCACTCTCGATTCCTATGACAATTCCACTGAGAGACAGAACTATCTGGCCACTCTGGATCTGGTCCTCCGGCTCGTCTGTAGGCACCCCGTGGAACATGATACTGGACAACATTGTGGTGATGAGGAGAGACAGACCGCATGTCAGCCTCTGGGCTCGCGTGAACTGGTTGTAGGCTGGCTTCGAAAAGATGCTGATCCACAGATGACTGTCCCGGAAGTCTTGACTGGACTTCAGCATGAATCGGTACAGTCGATGCTGATCCATGCTGCCCTGGTTGAGAGATGGGATTTCAACTTGGATGAAGCCTGGTCCTCTATCTACAGCCAGCCAGTCATTATACAGACAGTGCCATACTTCCTTAGTCTGGATGTCACGGACAACCACCTCCTTTAAATACCTGCAACACATGTACAGTCTACCTTTATATTATGGTCAGTAGTCAATACAACCCAGCGGGCACACAACGTTGAATCAACGTTGAATTTTGGTTGTTTGGTTGATCAACCGTTCATAAACGTTGATTCAACGTTTATCATGACCAAAGAAAGTTAGTCGAGATTTGTTTAGTTGTCAACGTTGTTTCAACGTAAGGAACCAACAAAATGTCAACTAATTGTTTCCTTGGCAAATTTGATACATAATTCATATTGGTAATAGGTATCCAACTTAGCAACTATCATTTCGGAACATTAATTGCATAAAAGATCAAGATCGAGCTAGTGACACATATAATCTTATATATTGTTTGATTGTGCATCGATCAACGGACGGAAATATTACGTAAATCGCAATTGAAAATGAAAACATCAATGATTTTAGGTATAAAGTCAACAGTTATCCAAATTTTATTACATTTGATATTTTCCCACAAAACTGTCAAAATTGTATAATTCCCGACAATTTGCTTTCAAACACATGCCAGATCGCCTCGTTTGGCCATATCCGGACATGCGCACAATTATCGCGAGCGCAAAGGCAGCTGATCATTGTCAGTTTACTTTGGCGAAGTTCAACGCAATATCGTTCTATTTTCAACATGTTCACGGCATGCTGGTGTTTATTTGGTAAGTATGTCCTTCATGTATAATGAAAACGTAGGAATGTTGTTTAAATCTAGCAGGTCAATGTAGCAAGAAACTCCGAATTAGGGCTCATGTTTTATCTCACAAGGGTACCGGTATGTCATGTACATGTTTCTCAAAATTTAGTGGAAGCCCGTGTTTTCCATGAACTTGTTTTGTTATTTTTCAATATATTTGCATGCATATATTTGGCATTTTATTATATAATCGAATAAGATTTCCTTTCGTACCAATCACCTGATTTGAATTTTGCAAATATACATTTTCAAATAATCAATGAAGTACATCAATATAAGGGACCATTCATAATTATATGGCTGCGGGTGGGGGTGATGATTGTAAGGGGTGGGGTGGGGGTTTGTCACCCATTTTGTTCAGGGGAGCTAAGGGGGTCAGCATTTTTGTACACACGCACTATGTTTAATATGATGCTTAGAAATTTGGGGAGAGGGCGTCATAGATATTGTACATGACATGCAGGGTGGGTCGTCACTTATTTCGTACATACACTTTACGGGGAGGGGGAGGGTAATTCACATTGTACATGCTTCTTCATAAAAATCATCATCACCCCCAAGCCATACATTATGAACGGTCCCTAAGGGCAGCTATACAAAATCGAATAGAATTTATCAACATTTTATATTGCATCACATTATTATGAACATTTGTTCGTTTGAATAAGTCGATCAGTAAATTATGCATTGAGCACGCTCTGAACCCTGTCAACATATGCATATTATTTGGGGAGGGGGGGGGGGTGGAGAATGGCGAAAGGAAAACTTTCTCAGATCATGCAACGAAAATTCACATCAAAATGTCTTGTGCAAGTCTTTGTTAAGGATGAAATTGCATATAATTTATTTGAACTTTTATTTATTTACAAAATGTGTAACTTCACTAATGATTCTTTGATGGGACAATTAACAAAACTGCACTCACAGACTTTCATTCTTACACTTGTTTGGAAGGGATGTGATGATTCATGTCTCTTAAAGGTTAAAATGTTACATACAAAAGAAGTAATTTAGTAAGGAACATTTAATTATGAAATAAGATATAATTTTAATGGAATTTGCAGAAATCTCATCTTCGAAGACTGGGTGGCATCAATTTTGTGGATCACATAAAAGGAGCAATGCTAAGGTAACAAGTTTTTAACATTTTACTTGTTTCCAGTATATCCACCACAAAGGTTGATCATGTAAGAGAATAATTTGACAATGATTTCTCGAGGAGATGTTTAGTTTAATGAGCACTCCCTTTCTTGGCCATATTGTTTTTCGCCAGAAAGAGCTGGATGCAAGAAAGCACGCTGAGAGGACAGAAGTCATAAATTTATAGAGATATATAGATGTTTATTGCTGGGAGACACACTCTTCAGGTATTTGGTCAGCTGTAGAATTTGAATATGATGTTTCTTTATTATTGTCAAAGTGTAGGTTTTTCATTATTTTGCATTTAAATGTGTGTGCAGTGAAACATACTGAGATTTGGAAGAATCCATTATTTAGAGTACAGGTATTGTTAGATATCAGCATTTTATGTACATGTTCCCTTGTCAAGATCATCTATCGAGTATATTAGAGAGAAGGTGTATATTTGTAGTGTTTTAAATCAGAGTTATTTTCAGTGTATGACCTACATTTCAATATGTTTTGGCCACCTGTCACCCCTTTGGTCAAAGAGAGTAGGACTTCCATTTCTTGGAATTGAGAGTCAGAGATACACTGTTTCCAAGAATTTGCGTGTGCCAGCGATGTTTGTTTACGAGTACATTTAAGTCTTTTTGAGTGTAGATTGGAGTTGTAAGAGATGTTATTCAGTGTCTTATTATTCAGGGTATGATAGATTATTTCTGGCAGTGTAGAGTTTAATCTCATTATTTTATTGTTCATGATTCAGAGAAGCATAGTTATGACGTCGCAGATATTACAGGCACACATAATTCATTATATAAGAGATTTTCTAAGCGTTCCTATAAGATATTAAGTGTAAACATTTCTGAATTATGAAGAAGTTATTTATCTGAGTTTTATGAGTGTACAAATGACAAAGAGAGACAGAGTAGATAATAGGGAATATATTGTATACTTATGAGAGCTCATTATTGTTTTCAGAACTCCATGATCCATACTTCCCTGTGTTTGGGAATAAATGGTGTTGGAAGACCTCCCACAATAGACTTGTTCTTTGACCTGTGAACCACCACCCATTTTGTTTTCTTATCATTTAATGTAAAATGGCTTTTGTTACAATTTATGACTCCTGTTAGCAAAATTGCTACATCAGTACAACTCCTATTTAATTTGAAATAATCGTTTCCGAGAATCTCTAAAGAAAACTAAATCTGACAGAATAACAACAATCTTCCATTGTTTTGCAAGACAATGTCAAACAATTTGATGTCAAGAATGAATGTTGATGGGCAAAACGGCAAGTTTTCTTTTAAGAATACAAGGTTGTATTCAATCATCTCTGGTAATTTAATTACCAAATGCAGCATTATCATCATGACCATAGCAAATAATATATGACAGTAAAGCATCGTCTAATTCATCCTAATTCATAGTCTAATTGAATAAGCAACTTGCAATTGAGGATTTTCTTTGAAAACGTTTAAGAAAACTTCCATTCCTTTAGTTGAAAATATAAATTGTTTACATTTTTCGTCACATTTTTATTGATGCTGTTCATATGTTCACATGGCAAGTTACAGCAGTGAAATGAACCTTTCAAGTGATTGATTATACAAATACTTGAATCATTTAAGACAATATATCTTCCATATAAAATTATTCATGTATTTAAATATAAAATTTCAGATTGTGTCCTATCTCATGGGAATGAGATGGGAATGCATCCGAAGCAAATTTCAAGAAAGAGTTAGGAACGTTTCTGAAGTATCCACCTGACCGCCAGGCAGGGAGTGGCAGAAAGAAGAGAAGCTGTATGTCAGTTTAATGCTATATGCAGATGATATTGTGTTATTATCACAACAGAGATCACCTACAGACTATGTCATGTGTGATGTTTTACATTATGCTTTAAACCACGTTTCTCTGTGTGCGTTTGTGTTCATAAAGATTTCATAAAAAAGTGACTGGTTTTATGTGCTGTCTTCAGGTATAGTTCCTGTTCATCTTGGATCCCTTTCATGGTGAAAGTAATTGCATTGTGTTTATTCAGGGGTCTGTCTAATAGCTGAAATTCAGACAAAATGTCTTCTCGGGACAATTTCCACCTTTTCAAGATAACAATACAACAGTAAATAGTTTTTCTTAATTTGGAATACTCTTTTCTTCTTACTGGAATTATACATCCAACTGATTATATTGAATGTGGAATTTTAACCAAGTATTTTATCAGGTAAATATTTTTACTGCAATTTTATGTTTGAACACTGTTTATTGCAGGTAGCTTTTTGGGTATTTTAGCTGGATGCATGAGTTTGGTGCTACTTTAGTGTAGTTTAAAGATGAAGTGCGAGTCTATTTACAGGAAAGCGTAATACCTCCCAGACACAACCACGGAACAACCCATTTTCAACGTTAATAATATGTCAAACTTCAACGTTGATTCCACGTCGGATATCTACGTCTAAAAAACTTTCATATACAACCACGGAACAACCCATTTTCAACGTTAATAATATGTCAAACTTCAACGTTGATTCCACGTCGGATATCTATGTCTAAAAAACTTTCATATACAACCTTTTTTCAACGTTGATAATAGGTCAAACTTCAACGTTGATTCCACGTCGGATATCTATGTCTAAAAAACTTTCATATACAACCTTTTTTCAACGTTGATAATAGGTCAAACTTCAACGTTGATTCCACGTCGGACATCTACGTCTAAAAAACTTTCATATACAACCTATTTTCAATCTAATTTCAACGTTGAGGACCAACCTATTCTCAACGTTGAAACAACGTTGATGTGCCTGCTGGGAACAATCCCATCTCATCAGGTAATGGGATATAGGAAGGAGACAATATACATCTATGATTTATCTTAACCTACAATATGCCTATGTTTACACTTTTTAACCATGAATTAAAGTTGTTTGTTTTCAATTGTAGGAAGGTTAAAAAAACATTCATATTCAAACACAAGTCCACATATGTCAATATGTATATAGTGGTGAAATATTGTATTTTTAAGAGAGTAACCATTCACTATGGTTTCAAAACATGATCCTGACGATCAGTAAGAAATACATTCAGAGCAGAACACATGTAGTGTTCCACTCATGAAAAAAGGTTATTTGACACGAAAAGTCCAATATCCCAAGTATGTCTATGCTTTCAAATACGAAGGCAGTATGGTTGATAAATCTTGTCTAGACATTCATGACCCACTGACTGATGATCTCAATACCAGATTTCTCCAATAACTATAGTCAGTATATCAACACCATACACATGTACCACTTCTGACTTATCTGCCACCAAAGGCTATACTGACTGACTGACTGACTGAGTTTGGTTTTACGCCGCTTTTAGCAATATCCCAGCAACATCACGGCGGGGGGACACCAGAAATGGGCTTCACACATTGTGCCCATGTGGGGATTCGAACCCGGGTCTTCGGTGTGACGTGCCAACACTTTAACCATTAGGCTACCCCACCGTCCCCCAAAGGCTATACAGTGGACTCTGTCAATACCGGCCTCTCTTAACACCGGCACTCTGTCTACATCGGCACAAAGTTTCAGTCCCGGCAGAAATGCACGTTATTATCATTTAGAAACCTCTGTAAACATCGGCATCTGTCTATTCAGGATATCGGCATTGTTTTTCAGTCCCAACGAACAAGTTGTTATGAAAACGAATCTGTAAAAACCGGCACATGAAAGACGGCGTAATCCTTTGATGCAATTAGGTCCAAATGATGTAACAACACAATTCGTTGTGACTCTCGAGATTATTCAGAAACGGGAAGTGTTAATCAGTATCTTGTTAATCAGTGAGTGGTACGTAACACTTACCTAGAGTAGTGGGCAGTTTGACTGTATAAACAAGCAAGTGTTTACATTTTGTTGATTCGCGGGTATTGACTCCCGTGATTATTCAGAAACGGGAAGTGTCAATCAGTTTCTTGTTAATTAGTGAGTGGCACGTGTCACTTACATAGAGGCGAATCGTTTGATGGCGTGTATCGTTCGAAAGCTCTGAACATCAACAATATCACTGTACTCTTGCCGAGAGTATTTTCACATTTGTAAGAAGTGATTTTATTGGAAAAAGATTGGTTTCTAACGACGCTTTTTCACTACACTCTGCTTATAAGGGTCGTGATTGGTCAAAATCAGACACGGACCTAAGCAGCCAATCATATTATGGAAATGGATACCGCCCTCGTGAAACGAAAAGTTTTAGATTAAGACGAAAAGTTTTGGGTAAAATAATGCTATTCTGAACATATTAAGAAAGACATCGCTACCTATACGTAAATCATGGAACGTATTGGACATATCGTGCTAGGTTATGGCCTATGACAAAAATGCTTCATGCATATATTTTCACATTAAGCATCGTGGTGAAAGCCGAGATGTAACTTGTCAGTGACTTGACTTACATTGCATGATCGCTCAAAAGAATGGAAATAGTAATTTTATATGTACGTTTGACAACTTTTATGAATGTTATTGTTGATTTCAATTTATTTAATGATTTCCTCGATGTTTGAAACATCGTTACTTTGCTCTTTGACAATGCTATTGTAGACCCGCTGCCGAAGCATAAACAAGAATCGTTGTTTGCAATAACATTGCTAAAAATAGTTTATAATTTTAATTCTGCCGATAATATATGATCAGTTGAAATTTAATAAGAGATTTCAGACATTTTTATTTGATTTAAACAACATGAATGTGCATTCAGACACTGCCTTGTTTCTTATTCAAACATCTTGTTAATGCTAAAGTGACAGTACGACAGCGAACTTCCGTGTGCGCAGGCGTCATAAGCGAACCTAGCTAAACCGGCACTCTGTCAAAACCGGCATTTTTACTTGGTCCCGACTGATGCCGGTATTGACAGAGTACACTGTACTAATAATGGCGGCATTCAACCTGATTTTACTCTCTCTCATTTGTCCACGCCTTTATAACAATGCTACTACCAGTGTAATATCTAATACGCAGCAGTTACAAAAGATGTCTATTCCAAGAATAACTTCATCTGTTTTAACCTGATCAAATATGATATTTGTTAACGTTACCTCATGTTCAGATGACAAAAATGTTTAAAAGTAAAAAATAGTCTTATCTATTCAAAATGATGCAATTGTGACCCATAAACTCGTCTTAGGTGCTGCAATGGTCCTTATTTCTCTCTGTGAGGTATATTATAACTGTTAGTAATCACATGGCATTGGACAATCTGTATTTACAAAACGGCCTCCAGTCTGCAGCAGATGCATGAAGATCTGATTAGAGACAGTGCAAACCATGAATTTGATTTTCTTTTAGCTGGTAATCAAGGGATTTAGGCTTTGTACATATATACCCACTGAGACGTCTTCATGACACACTTCATGATGAGCTCTTTTCACCTTCATTCAACAGACTGAAAAAGCCAGTATGTCTATCCTTTTGGCATGCCTGAAATCTATGATCATGTGCTTGAATCTTGATAAGCACTGATGTTTGTTGGCACCATGCCTGTGCTCACCAAAGAGGTAAACGTCTCTGATCTACATCACTTTAGAACTTCCTCCTATGCCAAGCTCACGTTACTTACTGAAACTGTGAGGTTAGTTAGACGAACAAATACAGAAGTGTCCATCTATACTTAAACCCTATAATGTTAAGGTCAGCAATTATTTTCCAAATAAGTTATAACTTCCATGTTTCAGCAGTTGCATGTGCAACTTCTCCTGTGATTCACAGATATGAACACCAGTCGTGAACAAACAAGCTTTCATGTAAAATGAGATATCACTGGAATACTGCTTAAAATGGTGCTAAACCAAAGTCTTTTACTGACCTATTTCAAAGATCTTGTACACTGCTCCAAGATACTTACCAAGATGGGTTCTTCCCCCTATTGTCATGCCACACCACAACAGATTTTATCTTGCCAAGTCTCCTGCTGGTGGTAAGGACAAACCAGTTCTCAGCCCCTGGGGTGAACAGCTTCCGATGTGGGTCTGCCAGGATGTGGCGAGCACTCTGCCTGTATCGAGCCCGAAGGTACAGGAAGATGTTGGCAGTGGTACCAGCCTTGGGCCACCAGCTGGTCACCACACAGATCAGGTACACGTACTTGTCCCTTGGATCATTGTCAGCCAGTATCGTGGTTCCTATCTGTAATGAATTCATATATTGAACAAGCTGGCTGATAGTGACATGGCTGATGTTCCCAAATGGCTAAATACTAGTATAGTGTCATAAGAACAGACCTGTATGTTTCCGATGACACACAGCACACCTTGCAATGAGAAGCACTAATGTATTTGTTTCACTGTGAGTTTCTTAACTGAACAAAGCTGAGGCACTTTGACGCCTAAGATACAAAAGGTGTCTTGACACACTTTTGTATGTGATAGGAAATGTGGACTTTTTGCAAGAATTTGTGGGCCCACAGCATGTGGTCTAGCACGGGGTGCCTACCTCTACGCAATTCCGAAGCAATCAGAGACATCATCGCATGAATTGAAGTTCATAACTATAACAAAACAACATGCCCATGGTAACAACTGACCATGCAGCCATCTTTGCGACTCCGATATTGTTATGAAATACACTATGATATTGTTGATGGAAGTGTAGGAATGTACATGCACATAATTGAGGTATGGTAACTGAGAATTCTACTTATCTTCACAGACTTGCATTTCAGAATTAAGGGAATATTTTGAAGGTGTTTGGCAAGTGTATACCATGTAAGACATGATAAAAATCTTTATTTGAAAACACAATATTGTGAAAGGAAGAACATGAATAAACTGATAATAACTCACGACCTTAGTTTTGGTAATACTGCAAAACATACAAATCATGAAATTGCTCTACTTGTCAAACAAGTACTGTTTTCCAAACTCAGCTTTCATTTTCATTCTCAATTAACTTCTCTTAAGTTCATCTACAGTAGATAGTTTCTATTAGTGACAAAGAAAAATTTGTCATTAGATTCTAAAATGTCTGAGGACTTTAGAAATACATATGTTGCAGTTATGTGTGAAGTGTATGTGATTTAATGGGCAACTGATAACTTGCATACATGAATGTGGTTCTGTCAACACAATCCTATGTGGTGTTAAAGCCTATTCATTGTTTAACATTCTACACAATTCTGGGGCTGTCAACAACACTACATAGTTATCAGTGGTCATTTGACAAAAACGATACCATGGACCATGACTTTGCTATTTTTGTCATTAAATTCTCTGAGAAAATATCTGATGCAGACAACCACGTTTCAATGAACACGGATATAACAAACTGGGTTTCCCCCAACTACCACCATTTGCCGAATATTTTAGCAAACATGTCTAAAATTAATGATGGTTTTAACTGTAGTTTTGATGTCTTGACATTTGACACTATGCACAAAATAATGCAATGAGTTGAGATTTAGTATTTTGCCAAAAATGGGGAGATTTATGATTTACCTTTTTCAGAGGTTGTTTTCAGTAATTATGCTTTGCCTGAAATGTCAGTGGATGATATCAGGGAACAGAGGATGCTCTGCAGAATTACAAATTGTGAAGATTATGTGGGGGTGTAAATGTATTTGGAATTTTATTCACCTTCAAAGTGTGTGAGCAGAGGAGGGACATTTATGTCCCTGTGGCATTGCATGGTTAGAAAAGACCAACTGTTTCAGCGTAACACCATTTTAAACTATCAGGGACATCCAAAACAGTCTAAAAAAAAAAAGTCACCTGAAAAAGGAACATCATTTTCAATTCAGATCCTGAGATGTCTTGAATAACATCCAAAAATTTAGCTTCAGGTACCAAAGTTGATTTTTGACTGGTTTGAGCTTTGGAAAAAGTGAACTCTATATCCATGCAAACTTTCAGTTATCTGGGCTTTGTGGATTCTTAACAGATCATTGAATATTTCTACATTTTGAGAAATATTCCATTTTGAAGCATAAACCTTGAACATTCCCTTTGGCCTTCATACTGATAATTTCAATTTGATCTGAACAACCAACATAATATAATCATAAAACACTCTGTAATGTTACAATAGGTTCACCTTTTTAGAATCGTCTTTATCCTTCTGTCTAGCCCAGTAGAGGAGAAGAAGGTAAACCCCCCACACTGCAATAACAGCTGACACAACAACTGGGTTGTCAAAGAATTGTAGGAAGAGAACAGCATCAGTGATGGGATTGACAGTGTTGGGAGCCACAAAGATACCTCCTGAGAATGCTGACAGATGGTTGCACAGACAATGCAGGCTTTCCAGTGTCGTAAATGGACTGACCTAACATGAAGAATATAAAATGAGAATTGAACAGTCAAATGAAGTTGGTATGTTTGGTTGTTTTACACAACACTCATAATATTTCATCTTAAAAGTGGCTCATAAATAATTAGTTCACGGTAGATTTTTCATTTAAGGCAGCAGTATGCATTAAACTATCATCCAACTTGAGCAAGAATCATCAATGTTTGGTTGGTTGGTTTGTTGTTTAACGCCTCACTCAGCAATAATCCAGTTATATGGCAGCGGTCTGTAAATAATCGAGTTTGGGCCAGACAATCCAGTGATCAACATGATGAGCATTGATCTATGCAATTGGGATACGATGACATGTGTCAACCAAACCACCCGATCCTGTTAGTCGCCTCTTGTGACAAACATCGGTTGCTGAAGAGCAATTCTAACCCGTATCTTCACGGGTTCATTGTTTGGTAGGACTATATGTATGGTACCTAGACATGGCAGCAAACATAGGGAGTAGCTTCAACTGAACATACATGGTGACAATAAAATGATACAAATGAGTGGGATGAAAATAGATAATAGAATAAGAATAAGAACTTTCAAAATAAGAGCTTTCAATGAGCATGATCATCCCTTACCAGACAGCCCCTGGTACTCCATATCTCCAGCCCTTCGTCCCAGTAGGAGCAGGTCAGACTGTAGGTCTCCACACTCACGTTCAGTGACGTCTCGTTCTGTAGCCCTTCTGTGGTCAGGTTCTGGCCAGGCTTGATGGTGAAGCCTACAGTATAGTAGGAGTCGCTGGCTTCCATCTTGGGCAGGAACACCAGGTCGGGGTCCTGGGTCAGGTTCCCAGACCTCAGTAACATCTCGGGAGGAAGTGGCATGTCAAATCCAGAGTCTAATATTTCATTAGAGGAAATGATATCGTTAATTTTTACAAATACCTGTAGTGTGAGAGAAGTGTTCACACTTGTAAGTCTGACCATCAGTGAACTATTACTGTAGATCTTTATAGCTTTACTGTCTGATGAAATGATGTTGTTGCTGTTGATAGTTACATTAAGCTCCTCGTTTGCCCAGGTATGCCCAGAGACTGTTGCTGAAAAAGTCAAAATTATCAATATGAATACATTTTATATTTAAATACTTAGGGACTGGTAATTTATTAAGGGGGTAGAGGGAATCATAGGGGTAGGTAATCCTGAAAAATAACACTCTCTAGGGAATTGCCATAAATTATTTTACACGTTTGAAAGGGTCATGAAAATACTGACATGGACACTTTTTGTATTTTCTCTTTTTGGGGAGGGTCATGAAAAACACGAAGGAGGACATGGGAAGGATCATCCAGTAATATGACTGACAGAAGGGGATGGTAATTATTTCCACTACAAATACCTCATACCCCTACAAATACCTCTGAAAATGGACGGATCATCCTAACTGATTTCATATTATGGTTAACGTGAACAATGTACTCGCACACATCGCAAATGTGGCACTGAAATACATGGAACAAGGAGCTACTGACTGTTATCAGTAATGAACAAGGAGCTACTGACTGTTATCAGTAATGATGATGTCAGCTGGCTTCATCAGGTCCTCCAGGAGTATCTTCCTTCCATCAATCCCTCGGCTTTTCATGATGATGTTGACAATCGGGAAGTTGATGCCCTCAGCTGAGTCATCCCAAACATAAGGATTACTTGACATCACCTGTACCTGTTTCATAGAGAGAAAAACATGTTTTCTAAACTCCTTGCTTACATCAAGACTAAATCAACATGAAAACACAATCTGACCGCCTTGCTGACATCAAGACTAAGTCGACATCAAAACACTATCTGAACTATTTTCTAAACTCCTTGCTGACGTCAAGATTAAATCAACAACGCTATGTGAACTCCTTGAAGACGTCAAGATTTGGTCAGTGTTAAAACTCTATCTGAACTCTCTGAAGACAAAGAAACTACGTTGAAATGAAAACTCTATCTGAAATAAAAAACTGAAAACTCTGTCACATCCAAAACACTATTTGAATTTCTTGCTGACGATAAAATTAAGTCAGCGTGAAATCACCATGCAACTACTGATCTTTAATGAGTTCTCAACGAAGCAAAATTACTCAAAAGGTTTGTAAGTTACATTCAAACATATGCTTTCAATCAAAATATACTGTCTTAAATCACATATATCAACATTTTCACCTGAACATTGACAGCTTCAACACTAGTGCTGTTCGCAGAGCTGTTCTGGAGGCTGGATTTGATTGGAATCGTAAACTGTCCCTCCTTGCCTTGGTCCTGTAGTTTGGCTGCCAGCTCCATGTCACTGTCATCATCTGCCTCACTCCAGGCCAGCGCCAGAGACATCTTCTTAGATTCTAAATGTAGTGGTTCCTCCTTAGCAAACTGTATCCCCCGCAACATGGCATCACCGATTTTCTCATACACATCAAGGATTGGCTTGGTCTTTTCTTCTATCTTCATGTCAATTGGAAAACCAACAGTTAGTAACAAGGCCATCAGTGATATAAGCTATTCTTACTGATATAAAAAAATCAAAATTATCAAAGACAACATGAAACTGAGGACTAATGCTTGTTATCTTTTTATCGTAACTTCTTTGAGAGGCGACACATATTGTAATCTTTCCTTATCTGTTTGTCATGCTGCATAATTTTATCTGGAAAAACTTACTGGTAACTAATGTTATCTGCAAACTGCTGCGTTAAAGTATTCTACCTTGGTAGTTCATTGCTCTCAGTAAACATTCTCAGCAACTAATTAAACGTCAAGGTGCACCACATACTGTATGAGATGTTGGTGGGCTGCTGGTTCCCGATCCTGGGGCTGGCATGGGCTCCGTCACAGAATGAACACTCAGCTCTATGAGGTTCTCCAGGATGAGGAGCTGCTTCCTGCAAGGAAGCACAACACATACAGAACCACTGTGTCAACTTCAAAACATCAAATACATGATAGATTCAGCGGGCATCGTATGGTTACAGGAGTTTGGAAACACTTTTTTTCAAGGCAATTTAGCTTTTGATTCTCAAGAAAATCCAGTTGTGTTCACATTGACCATGACCTGATCTCTTCATACCACCAATGGCGGTGGGGTAGCCGAGTGGTTAAGGCTTTCGCTCGTCACACTGAAGACCTGGGTTCGATTCCCCACATGGGCACTTCGTGTGAAGCCCATTTCTGGTGTCCCCTGTGATATTGCTGGAATATTGCTAAAAGCAGAGTAAAACTCATTCACTCTTCATACTTTGAGCCACAAGCAGTTTGTCCAGTACCAGCCATTGGCGAAACCCCTTGTGGCACCAACAAAATATTAAAACGAAAGTAAAATCCTCCATGCCCCGGCATTTGAAAGAACAAGACTATTTTCATAACTTGGTTAATGTATTAAAACAATTGGTCCCAACTAACTTAGCTATGACTTTGGCCGCTGTGGGTGCTGTTTCTGCTATATCTCCCAGGCTCTCTGTCAGACGAGCACTAACACTCACAGCTTGTTCCTACAACAATGAAACATCTTAATTTGGTTAAACTACAAGGTAGATACAGTTGTATAATTTCTTTAGGATTCTATCATAGTGGCATTTTGCTACAGGTCTTATATACTTGTCAGGCAAGACAACAACAGCATAATGTAATTTTCTGAATAAAATTGATATTTTATACTTATCCTGACTCATGCTCTTTTTGCTTGTCTTCTTCTTCTTGCGAACATAGTGGAACACTTGTATCTCCCTAATTGAAGCTCCCTTCAATTTAAAATCACTAATCAATTCTCACCAAGAGTTGTCTCTCTTGCCCCTTTTGGCGGGAAAGGTGGTGCCACCACATCCCACATGCTTCACTCTCTCCTGTTTAACGAGCCCGACACTTGAATTTTCAGGGAAATCCAAAAGTGTCATGTGGGGAGGATGGGAGGGCTTACCTCATGAGTCAGGATAAGTATAAAATATCAATTTTATTCAGAAAATTGCATATTTTTCCTTATCCTGACTCATGCTCTTTTTGCTTGTAGAATCCGACGGAATCGGAGGTGGGAACAGATACTTTGGATTTTAATTAGTGATTTAGATGTAATAACCCCCTACGGGAACTTCATAATGGCACTGTAATTAAATTAATTTCTGCTGCTATCATACATAAGTTCTACCAGCTGCCATAGATGGGGGTACTACAATATTAACATAATATAGCGACCCCAAAGTGGAGAAGCGACCCAAAAGTACATGTAACATAGGTACTGGGTTTTAAGACTAATGTAGGCTTATGATATACAACTAGCAAAAACTCCGTAGAGTTTGTAAAGTTGATAAATACTGATATAGTATATACAGATATAATCTCGTGAGACTATGTCTCATAGTCTACGAGGAACTGTCAACTGCTGTGCTAAAACCAATGGTCCGAAATGGTGAATACCTGAGACGTCCTCGGTGGCGATATCTCTCAGGTAGTGGTTAGCAAACACCATGTCGGATTTCCAAAAGCAGCCCTCCATAATGGTATTCAACGAGCAATTTCCATGTAGAGTGAGTGTTGAAGCCAGTGCTCTGATTTCGTGAGGATTAGATGCTCTTGGAGGGTCGAGTCCTGCAGCCTTGTAGGCTCGAAGTATGACAGTTCTGATCCATATCGATATCGTGGTACTAGAGACTTCTGTCTCAGTCGCTGTAGATAGAGGGATGAATAACCGCTTGAGTTTTCTTCGCCTCATTTTGGATTGTTGTAAATAAATTTTGAGTGCTCTCACTGAGCATAATGATAGATCAAGCGTATCATGAGGTCCGAGTAACGAGGAAAGTGCAGGGACGTGGAATAATCTGTCTGGTTGACTTGTCATTTGATTCTTGGCGATAAAGTCCCATCGCAGTCCCATATGCACTGTGTTTTGATTCTCATCGAAACGTGTTCTCTCGTAGTCTAGAGCGTGGATTTCTGATACTCTGGCTGCCATTGCTAGGGATAGCAGGAACAGTGTTTTCTGCGTCAGAAATTCGAACGATGTTGATTCCAGTGGTTCATAAGCCTCACTTGTGAGGTGTTGGAGCACTATATTTAGATCCCATGCTGGAGCGCCAAATCTCTGTTTCTGATCCTCCAATCGGAATGAACGTAGCAAGGCCAGTAACTCTGGCGTCTTTGTTAACTTGACACCTGTTCTCATAGTTATCACTGAACTTAATGCTGCGAGATACGTAGATAGTGTCGAGCCTTTTAGACGTTTGGTTTGTCGTAGGGGACAAAGGTAGTCTGCCACTTGAGGGTGTGTAGCATTTCTAGCTGTAAATCCCTTTTTAGCAGCGTATGTCTCAAAACTCAGTGCCACTTGTCATCATACAAGTTGCGCGTAGAGTTGCGCAAAGCAAGCGTGACTGCTTTTGCCGCCCTGGCTGAATAACCTCTCTTGTTTAAACACACTTTAATACAATCCATACGTGAAGTTGGAATGCTCCTGGGTTTTCGTGCGCTTGTTTTGTGTGAGGATGTACAAGTAGATTCGAGAGCTTTGGTAGTTGTAGTATTGGTTGTCCGATTTCTTGAATTCGAATGGGAAACCACGTTCTCGCTGGCCAGTAGGGCGCGACCAAAATCAGTTGGAGGCTCTGAGTTTGTCTGATTTTCTGTAACACCCTTGGTATTAGCGCTGGCGGCGGAAACGCATACGCGTTGAGGCCTTCCCAGGATATGCTTAGAGCGTCCGTTGCCCACGCTTGTGGATCCGGGACTGGTGAGACGAATGTTGTTAGCTGATTGTTGAAGCGAGTGGCGAATAGGTTTATTAATGGAGCTCCTATTTCCATGATAATCTGAGCGAAGATTTCTGGGTGGAGTTTCCATTCCGTCGGAGACGGTAGATATGGCCGAGAGAGTGCATCTGCTAGTACATTCTTGGCTCCGGGAATGTGGCATGCTCTGACATGTATGTTTAGATCGTCGATCAGATCGAACAGTTGGAAACATAGAGTCAATAGGTTCAATGATCTCGTTGAACCTTGTTTGTTTATATAAAACGCCACTGTTGAGTTGTCGGTGTGGATCATTAGGTGCGCATTCTGTAGAATGGTGCTCCAATGAAGTAGGGCGTTGATTACTGCTTTCATTTCGAGCATGTTTATGTGCAGTTTGCTCTCTTCTTGGTTCCATAACCCTGATGCCGTCCGGTTGGCGAGATGAGCTCCCCAACCTTGGAGCGACGCGTCTGCATAGAGATGGGTTTTGAACTCCAGCTCTGTTAAATAGATGCCTTTGCAAACATTCGACCTCCTGGTCCACCAAAGTAGATGAGGTCTGAGGTAATTCGGTAGACCGAATGGTTGAAGGTCGTCGAGATGAGCGTTGATGAGGACCTGTAACGGGCGTAACTGTAGTCTGCCTCTGGCTGTCATGTCTTGTGCTGACGTGAGGAGACCCAACAGACTGCCACTGTCGTAGTGGTAACGGAGAGAGTAAGGCTTGTGGAATGGTCTGTTGGATCTTGAGCCATCGGTCCTCTGGTACGACGATACGATTCTGTGTCGTGAGGAATCGAATGCCTAGAAATTGCAGGTCTTGCGTAGGTTCTAGGTCCGACTTGAGTAGATTCACTAACCATCCTAGCTGTGTTAGTAGCTTGATAGTGAAATTCAGTTGTAGTTTGAGATGCTCTGGATCTGGATCTACTTGAATCCCGTCGTCGAGGTAGAACGCACTGCGTAGCCCTTGACGACGTAGGTAAGTGACGATGGGTTTCGTTACTCTTGTGAACAACCAGGGGGCCGATGATATTCCAAAAGGTAGTACCCTCCATTGGTAATGTAGCCCATCTAGAGTAAACCGTAGGTACTTCCTCGAGTAGGGATGTATCGGGATATGCAGGTAGGCATCCTGTAGATCTATACTGGCCATGTAGTCCATTGGACGAACGAGGTGCCGTAGTTGAGGTAGATGTACCATGCGAAACGTTGGCGGTTTGCGTAGATAATCCCTGTTGAACGTGCTCATGTTGTAGATGAGTTGGAACTTTTCCTTGGAGTTTTTCTTGGGCACTAGGAAAACTGGGGAGTAGAAACCTGGCTCGATGTTTACTTGATCCACGATTTCTATGGCCTGCTTGGTTAGTAGAGATGAAACAGCTTCTCGTAACTTTAGTAGTTGTTGTGCCTGGAAGTCGAACTTGTGAGGGTTGACTGTAAGCGGAGGCGTGGCCTGTAGTTGGATTCGATATCCGTGTTGAAGGATGTTGGAGACATATGGATCTTGTAGTATTCCCCAGTTCTCCCAGTGTAGTTGAAGGCGTCCACCCACTTGTGAAGGTTGTACAGGAACGGCTGGGGGTGGAAGACTCCAGTCGTTCCGAACCCGTCTTTCAACGTCGATAGTTGCGGGAGCCTCTGGGTGCCCTGCCTCTTCCAGATCCTCCCCTGTAGTTGCCGAATGGGCGGCGAAAAGAGTCCTTTCCACCTCTGGATCCGGACATCTTCCTGTCCCGTGCTCTCTGTAAACCAGTGAACTTCGATCTTCCGGGAGTATCTCTGTGATGTCTGCTTGATGACGCTAGTCAGAGTGTCAATCGATTTAATCATGAGGACTTCTCTTGAATCCTTGATGACTTCTTTAGAGACTTTATCAATTCCTCCAGAGAAGATGGAAGGCGTTGACCATGGGGCTGTGAATAGAGGTGCTGTGAACTGTTCACCCCAACTACAGGAGGCGAGGAGACCTTGACGACGAGCCTGAGTAAGAGCTGCTGAGATGGATGAAAGGTGATCCGTCAAGAATTGCTGGTCCTTCTTCTGCATAAGGAGGGCCGAGTATATCATTCTGTCGTCTTCTGATGTAGAATCTCGGAATCTAGTGATGAGAGTTTCATTAATAGTTCTAGATCTGTTGAGGCCCGAAAAACATTCTTCTGGTCATAGTTTCGACTTGAGCCAGCTTGCGATCCTCGATCTTGTACGTCTTGGCCTTGGCATCGTTGATGACTTTAAAGTTATCGTCGATTTCTTGAGCTTTGTAGAATGGGTCCATGTTATGAGCATAGAACTTCTTGGCGTTGAACTGAGCTAAGTGCAGCGCCTGAGCTTTAGTGGCTGTTTGGAAAGCTGTATCCAAGTTCTGTGGAATCGTTGCTATAGGGTCAATCGGAGGTAGGGTGATCGTGTCTGCGTCGTCCTCCCTCATGAGATAGCTTTAGGGGAATCCCTTGATGACCTTCTAGACGAAGATGACTTGGAGTCTGTAACTGGAGTCCTTCGCGTAAGACCTTCGCAAAGCTTCATCTGAGTCCAGTCCTGGGGAGTGACGACTTGACCTTCGCGAAGGCTGGTGGTCCGAGGCAGAGTCCGGGGATGAGAGGATCCTTCTTCACGAATGTCTTCGCGAATGTTGATCATCAGAGTCCGAGGCTGGTGACGATCTAGGTGTCCTTCGCGAAGGCCTTCGCGAACGCTGATCGTCTAGGTCCTTCGCAGAAGTAGACTGTGACGTCCTTCGCGCAGGCTGGTCCCTCAGTGGTGACTTGGTAGCAGCCGCTACGTTGACAGGGGGTCCCTCAGGGGTGAAGTCTGCGGTGGAGTCTTCGCGAAGGCTCAGGTCCTGGGCTGGTTGTTTCTTTTTCTCCAGCCCGCAGCGGTCTTCCATCAACTTCATAATCTGACGAACCAGGTCGCCCGGGACGTCTGCGAAGTTGTAGTAGCTGCCCTATCTGCGTTGGTAGCGACGGGACCCATGGGAAGATCGTCAGTCCTCAGCGTTGATACATCGGGCTGATTGAGGATCTGCGCTGACGTCACTGTAGCTGACACCGGTCGTTTCTTGCGATGAACATCAGGTATGATGGGCGGCTGCTCATCATACAGGCCCTGTTCTGCGGCGGGAACAATCTCGGCTGAGAAAGTTCTTGCTGACTGCGTTGTTTTCTCCTTGGTAGTAGACGCTGCCCTGGGGGTGCGGAGTCTGCGTTGTGACGTAGATGCCCTCTTAGTCTTAGGCTGCGACGACGGAATGTCTGGTGATGCAGGACGCACCTTGGAGATGGCGGACTGCGGCCCACGCCTCTCCTCCGAGGGTAACTCCAGCGGAACACCAGACGGGAGGGGGTCTTCTGACAGCAGTTGACTTGCGAGGGGTTCCGTAGCATTAGCCATGCCTAGACTCTGTTTACGTGACCTAGCTGCTGCGCGTCTCAGGACGCAAAGTAAATATTTGTCAAAAGCAGAATGAGATAAATTAATACAGAAACTGCAACGTGAACTGAAAGCACATGGTACAGTACAGCTAGGGCATATTAAATGCGGATCAGCAGCAGAAAAACGTAACTTGCAAACAGTGAAGATTTTCATCAACGTAATCTACTGAACAATCATGGCGTCCCGTGAATAAACAGCAGTAATTACAAGTAAATACGAATAAATATTAAACCACATTGTTGAAGGATACTAGCTAAACCTCTATAAGAGTCTTGTAGAGGTAACTAAGTAAGAATAATCAAAGGATATAGTGCCGTAGGGAGACACAGGCGCTCTCACATCCTGCTCACTGGGCGAAGAAGGAGAGAGTGAAGCATGTGGGATGTGGTGGCGCCACCTTTCCCGCCAAAAGGGGCAAGAAAGACAACTCTTGGTGAGTATTGATTAGTGATTTTAAATTGAAGGGAGCTTCAATTAGGGAGATACAAGTGTTCCACTATGTTCGCAAGAAGAAGAAGACAAGCAAAAAGAGCATGAGTCAGGATAAGGAATTCATTGCTACAACAGTACTTCAACATGATAAAAGAATTTGCCTTCGCTATGTCATCTGTCAAATTCCATCAAATGCCTATTAATAAGTTAAACTCTACTTCATGTAAAACATTTCTCACTTAAGTACAGTATGAATTGTATGATGTCCATGCAATACATATTTCAGAGACATAGAAGATTCTAATCATTAAGTATAGAAATGTTTACGTCCAATCACCGTTACAAGAAACGACAAGTGGGATACAGTGGCTACAGCGTCAGCATATCCAGGTTGAAACCCACAAACACGTAAAGATCAAGATCAACATAACTGTTTGGTGTAATAGCATTAATTTTACAGGATGGACAAATAGGAGTAAGAGAATTCTTGTTTGACCTGCATAGTATCTGTAACTTCTTCAGTAGTTATTGTGAGTTCTCCGATAACATCGGTCATCTGTTCAATGGAGTCTTGACTTTGAACTTCCACATCGGACAGTTTTGTCAGAAGAATCTCTCGAGTCTAAAATTCAATTTTCTTTGAATATCTTGAGGGTTACAAGACATGTAAGTCACAGTGGTAACATAATCTTCAAAAATGATTTTGTCTTGAAATCTTTTTTAAATTTATATACTCCATGTTCTAAGAAAGAATGGGCATGGGGCCCCTGCAAAGTTAATGGCTCCAAGTTTGTGGATGTTCTGAACTCCTGAAGCAGTTTGGCTCCAAATTTCAGAGAATAATTGTATTTCTATGTTTCAGCTTTCAACAGTTTGAACATATCAATACACATATACAGGTACCATCAGATATCAGAGAACAGTTGTCATTGTGTATAATTCTAAGCATACAACCTGTTTTATACAAGAGCTAATATTACGGTAATTTGGTTTAGTTTACACTACAAATCTAAGATTTTTAACAGAAGTCCTCTTCACTCTTGACAAACGTGATAACTTTGTTTCAATCCTGCCTGGATGGGAGAAGGATCAAGGTGACCAAACATAAGAAACAAAAAACACTGAAAATTTAGTAGGGGGTCTTGGGGGGTCTTTTACTGCAGATTTATATCAATCCGAAAAACGTTCAAAATGAAACAAAAGGTCCCGGAAATACGCCGAACATTATCATGACTGGGTCACTCCTCAACCTTATTCCGAGGCATCAGCAAGGCCTTAGATGACTGCTTCTATGCCTTTGAACATGTCTATTTCAAACTTCTCTGCAACTTCATAATTTGACATTTTCAATAGCCCCCCAAAAAGGGTCCTAATGCTATCCCTAAATTGGTACACCGATTTAAAAAATGTCAACAAACTATTCTTTACGTACTGATGTGTACAGAGCTTACCTCCAATCTGTTAGCTATACTTTCTTCTGTTGTGTCACTAGCTTCATCATTGAGACTAGTAGCAATATTTTCAGCCAATCTTAGAATATCTGTATCACAGAATGAGATGTAGTTAATGGAACTGTAAGAGTCACACAATATTTATCATAACTATTTCAACAAAACTGTGAAACATTTCAATTCTAAACATGCTCACCTTGATTTCCCTCATGATCGCCTGTTGTTACAGTCAAGTTTTGGACCATGTCATGAAGTACCTCACTTACAGTGTCGTTCCCTGCTTCAAGGTGGAGCACCTGGATGGCACAACAGAAGACACTGCAGAGTTGTGTGAAGACAGATAATACAAATATAAACAGGTGTCTAGTTTCCTGACCAGTGATAATTCTGTGTCCTGACTACTGTTTATATATATGTTTTTCAGCTCCTTATGAGTTGTCCACAGCTTACATCATCATTCTGATACTCACTATAATTGACGTCAATAGCAAAATGTTCTTGTGCTTTACCATAGTATCAGTCAGTATCATATCTGCTAAAGTCAGGTAGTTAAGCTGTTGAACTGGAAATTACAGTTTTCCAAAGAGTATGAATAAAAGTTGCTAAAAATGCAAATAAACCAAAAAGAGAGATGCTACTCATGTAATCATAGCATCATCCACCACTGGGACACCTTTTGAATTCCTATCAATAATTGAAGATCACACATTGATTATTTTTCTGTTTTCATAATTTAATTTCTTCTCAGGAAATAATACATTACACAATAGCAGTGTACATTAAATGAGCACAAGAATCATAAATAGTTCAAAACTGACCTGTACGGAGACAGTGACAGACGTGCTTGTACTGTAAGAATCGAACACCAGAATGGATATGTTGTGTGTGTAGTTGCTACTCTCCGGCCCAGCGGAAAAGGTAATCTGGGAGGTTGATGATGCCTGGCCATAGTACAGCAGCTTGTCTGTAAACCAGAACATACGCTACTGGGAAAAGAGTTAAGGACCACCAAGCACAATCTTTTGTTATGATGCAGACAGAGATCAAACAACCAACCTTGCACTCACTACAAGACACTCCCATAAGATACTCTATCCACTCTACCATGTAGGCGAGGTGAGATGATATCATGAAAACCCCAGAAGGTTAGTATGTAGACCACAAACACTTAGTTACAATACGATAAAGACATGAATGTTATGATAAATAATAAAGAAGTTGGGATCCATGAGGTCTTCTTGACCCTAGAGTTATCGACAAAAGAGACAAGGAAATAGAGAATGCCGTACCATTTTCCCCAGCCTGATTCTGCAGGTACATCCTATACAGCAAAGGCGTGTCTTGGTCCAGAAAGTTGGAGCATGTTGCAGTGAAGTGGGTGACAAGGGCCTGGCCGGACTGGGGGGAGATGGTGCAGGATCCAGGGACAGGGGGACTGTTGGTGACGACAGTATAAACTGTGCTGCCTTCCTCAGAGTGGCTGTTTGTTACTGATACAGACATTACCATAAAGTATGACAGTAATATCATTAGTTCTTTGTACTGATATTGTTAATTTAGGCTAACACTAAATGCTCTTTGCCAGCATGTTGGATAACTGATGTACAAGTAGGGGCGGTGGGGTAGCCTAGTGGTTAAAGCTTTGGTTCGATTCCCCACAGGGGTGTGAAGCCCATTTCTGGTTTCCCCCACTGTGATATTGCTGGAATATTGCTAAAAGTGGCATAAAATCATATTCACCAACTCACTGATGTACAAGTTGTCTGTGTACTTTGTGATTTTCTTTCTGAAGATATAAATCATTTCACTGTAAATTCCTGGAATAGTCATTACAGTGATTTAAGGGAGGACATTTTTCAAAAATGAAAACCTTATTTATCCTTATGTTTTAACACACAAACATTTATTTTTGCTGGACAAGCTGTATTTTATAGTAAAAAACTGATTATTCGGTTCTACCCATTACAGCAAATTACTGTGGTTTAACCTGTGACCAAGAACAAACTCTAGGTCACTCCAAAATGTTATTAATGATGGGTCTACTTGAGCAAGTTTGGTTTTATGTCCATTTAACAATATTCCAATGCTATAACTGCTGGGACACCAAATAGTATGGGATTCATACAGACTATCGGGAATCAAACCCAGTGATTCAGAATTACAAGTGAATGCTTTAACCACTTAGCTACCATATTGCAGAGTAAACATCAATTAACAGTTTCAGGCAAACAATAATCATAATACATTATTGGATTGCAGATGGTAATGCAATGTGTCTTATACAGTCTATGACCTTAGTTACAAAGCTAAAGGTCCAGTTGAGTAAGATTATCAGTCACTTGAGAATTCTGTACTAATATCAAACCTTATTGCAACACTAACTTCAAGTGAAACTCATGCCAGGAGAAATGTGCGAGTTAAAGTAGTCAGAAATGCTAGAAAAAATGCTTTGTAGCCTTAATATCTTTAGAAAGGTGATAAATGTACTATGTTGTCAATATATCAACTCACCTATAGTGTATATAATTTTTATTTCAATTGATTTAACATTCCCATGAATTTAAAGGGCAGGTTACAGGAGAGAATTTGGTACCAAAACAACAACAACAGATTTTTTCAGAGTTCAACAACAGAAATCTGAAGGTCTTTACATTTATGCTAATAATACAGGTGGTGTAAAAATTAGGGCTGCAATGAATACACTATGTGGCGAATATGACATGTATCATGAATATTGGATAACGAGTATGAATACAATGTTGTAGTTAAGTGATTCATGTACTATATGGAACGCCCATGTTGACAGAGTTAATTTGTCACAGCAATAACCAGTGATATCATGACACTCAAATTTGGTATGTAATAGTTATACTCGACAGTACCATGTGCAGTCTTGGCGAACTAAATAACATGACTTGCACTACTGCAATGCTAGTACATGCATATCTCACTTTGGAAAGGACATAAGGGTTTAAGTAAAACATGCTCCCTTAAACAAATCATAAATATTCGGTTCTGGTGACCACGAATAACGAATTGAATTCATGAAGGGCTACGGATTGATTCAGCGAATATGCGAGTGAATCGTTACAGCCTTAGTAAAAATATGAATTAAACAAATTCTTAAACAAATAAATGTAGAATGTTTGTGTTACTTTACTTAATTATCGTTTCTTTATTGAAGAAATATGAATATACATGTTAAGTCTTGATAAATAAGTTTTCCTTCATGCATGCACATCTTTATCACAGTGTCCACTATGGCCAACTATTTGCAGTCAATTGTTGCAAAGGTTTATAAGTTTTTTTTGTGCTTGAAAGAGACAGAGGTAAACCTTTCATTAGTTTAGAAAGGGTTTATTACAGAACTTGTTGAGCTGTTGGTATGTCTTACCAACAAGTTTACAATATTGTAAACAAATCAGACAAGACAGGGACCATCTCAAAAGCAAAACCGGGACATAAAACCATTCTTGACAACTTTGACAAGGGAGTACTTAGACGGGCGGTCTACAAACTTTATGAAAAGAAGAATATATATATTCTAAAGAAGCTACACCAGTGACTTTGTTAAATCTTTGGCCAATGTTCACAACTAGATTAAACTGACCAAATTACATCCATATTTTTGCAATGAAATATACTGTTGACATGCTGACAATCAATCGATAAGATAACACAAGTGAAAGGATTCTTTCCAAAGTACAGTAATTCGTATGTTTATTTCAAAACAAACATACATACACAAATGATCCCTTACATAACCAATACGTATAGTATACTATACGTACACATATTCAACATGTTGAAGAAAACATCTATTGAGATGACCCTTCGCCCGAGCATGTGCTCAGGTGTCAATTTCACCTGTCGATACCGTGCATGCTGATGACGTAACACTGGCAGTTAATGTTTGTATCAAATAACGTCCCACTACCACTTATTTTTCTAAGTTTTTGGTATTTTCATCAGTAAAAACACATTTTAGGGCATGTCTCAAAATGTATTCCCTCGGTCTACATTAGGTAAAAGTTTCTTAAAGTGATATTTGTTACTTTAGTAACTGTAGTACCTCTGAATTTTAAATATAAGTCAAAAAGCATTTTTCTAGCATTTCCGACAGTACTTTAGTAGTACTTATTCACACTGCCATTAATCATGAAGACGTAATAGGCAAACAGATTCACTGGTTGTATGGATGATAGTTCGATACCTGTAACTGTGATGTCATAAACATCTGATGCACTCAGGAAGTATGCCGACAGTACGAACACTGACTGATGAATGCCGGTAGTTGTTGCAGCAGCAAGCTGGGCTGCATCTATAGGCATGTTTGTGGAAGTGCTGGTGACAGACCACTCATAGGTCTGTATGGGCAGTCCAATGTCATCACAGTTGAGACACACAACCTCCAGTGCCAGGTTCTCGGATGGGTTCAGCTTCATCCCACAGCCCAATTCACACCTGCAGTCAACAGCACATCAGATATATCCAACAGAGCTCACCTTAATATACTCTTAAAAAAGTTGGGGAAACTGAACCTTCAGTTTGGATAGGAAGTATAAGCATTAACAAACATTTCAAATACAGACATGTTATGAACAGACCACCATTTCTCTTTATCACCACCCCTAAACACAACGCATGGGATGCACGTGCACAACGTATTAGCCCCGTCCACGTGCATGGGGTGTCATTCTTGATTTTGATTGTTTTCAAGAAAGTCGATAATTCACTGTAGACCATTAATTTTGACAATCATCATGCATCACACAGTAATTAGTGATTGTTTCTAGCCGGGTTTTTTTTTGGTTTGAAAATGAAAATCATACACATGCAAATTTCACGTCATACACCAATCATCTTTCATGAGCAATTAATGTACAAACAACTATGGTCATAAGGAAGTGCAAGTGGTGATGCACTCTCAAAACATTCATTATTATCATATCGACATTGATTGACTCTGGCAACCTCCCAATTATGTCTTTTGTAAAATAAAAATGAAGGTCCCCTACCTTTTTAGAAGAGTATAGTAAGAGCTTAACTTTGCACATCAGAAAGACTAGTCTGTTTCAAAGCCCCTGAAGTGCAATTTTTTTCCTTTTGCCCAGACCTATTGGTAATACTAAAGTTCTCAATGAATCAACCTCAGGTTCAGGTTCTGAGCCTCCCTTCAATCTGGGGCTACTTTTCAATTGAAAAGGAATTGTTTGTTTCTATCAAAATTATATGTATTTAGAGACTAAACGTTAGCCTGCAGAAAGTGCTATCTGAGATCAAGTTGGTAGTAACTGTGTTACTTAGCACATTCATGAGATCCACAAGATGTCACCTCACTAGTACCTGTTGAACTAAGCAATATTTCTTTGGGTTTGCTCTAAGAATACAATGAAAATAAGCAAGTATTTTACAGGTGCTTTGCATAATAACATCAGTTGCACTCACAAGACATAGAAAAGAGTGAGTGAATGAATTTTATGCTGCTTTTAGCAATATTTCAACATTGCTGATGGGGAAATCCGGTTCACACATTGTACCCATGTGGGGAATTGAACCGGGTCTTCGTCATGACGAGCGAACGCTTAAACCAAGAGGCTACCCCACCGCCCTGAATTTTGGACAGAGCAGATTCATGAAGCATGAATGTATAACAGCATTACCTCCCTATACTGCGTATTAAATCAAGATCACTACCTACCTTTATGGAACATTCCATAATGAGCATTACCTAACTCTATGGTACAGGTTTCAAGAATCAAGTGCGGGACAGTAGAGTAGCCTTGTGGTTAAAGTGTTCACTCGTCACAACAAAGACCTGAGTTTGATTCCCCACACAAGTACAAAGTGTAAGGTGTACGTTGCTGTGATATCACTGGTATATTGCTCAAAGTGGAACCTTACTCACCCAAGGATCAAGTAAATACCTCAGCTTAACTATGAGGCTGATCTACGTTGCATGCATATTCATAACATAACAACTCCAATATAAGATATGTGATAAAGGATTACCTCACAAAGATGGATGGTGTTGTTGGGTTTGTGATGAGGACACTGATATTTGCTGCTGAGCCTTCAAATCCGGACTTGGACAGTTCCATAGTCAGTTTGTATGTCTGCCCAAGTGTGAGCAGATCAGGTGGTATTGTCAAACCAGCTTCTGCAATATCAGACAAATATGGATCATACAAAGAGTCACCAGCTCAATCACTGAATTATCATATTTATTTGAAGTCTATGAATGATTTCATCTTTAGATATTTGTAAAAAATCATTGTGTGATGTTGTATTGATACAGACTTCTTCAATAATCAATCCAAACAACTGGCTAAAGGGTACGATTTACCCAATAACTTATATCTACATTGAGACATTTCCCTACATCAGTTGTGGTTCATATGCACATATGGGTGGTGGTTTAACATAGTGGTTAAAGTGTTTGTTCGTCACGCTGAAGACCTGGGTTCGATTCCCCACATCAGTACATTGTGTGTAAAGTCTATTACTGGTGTCTCCCGCTGTGATATTGATGGAATATTGCTAAAAGACCAATGGGGTGAAATGAAACTAATTATTTTCAACTTCTTATGCTATTGAAGTCAAGCCACTTATCCTACCTCATGTAAGAATGTCCATATCTGATTGGTTCACATGACTTTGAACAAATTACCATGTATGCCCGGTGCATGGCCGTGCACCGCCCAAGCGGGGTATAAATCTTTGCAAGGGAGAATATCGACTGGTCAGTACGATGTTAGTAAAATATATGATTGAATTTCAGTTTGATTTAATGTTACATTTACATAATGAGAGATTTAAACTTTCGGTAAGATAAATTTGTTGTTGCATTATGATTTGGGTTATACGGGGTTCATGCTGTTGATCACTGGATTGTCTGGTCCAGACTTGATTATTTACAGACTGCCACCATATAGCTGGAATATTGCTGAGTGCGGCGTAAAACTTACTCACTCACTCACTCATAATAGCTAATCTATAGTCCGTTTGGCTCAAAAGCGGACCAATGAATTGCAATCTAACTCGAAAACTAATGAACATAAAATACTCAATGAAACACTGATCATAATCAAAACGTCAGACCAACTCTGTGAGTTTTTTGCAGAATTTATGTCCTAAAAATTAAAAAGCTGTTTAACAAACTATCATTAAAATATTGACACAGTTCACTATTTGTTACGAGGGAGGAGTGCAGAGAAAGGGGCAGCCAGGTGTGCGAGAAAGGCTGGAGACGGCACAGCACAGGTTAATGAATCCATAACTTTGTCGGCACTTGTGCACGTGCTTCTCTAACACCTGGCTGTCCTTTTCTCTGCACTCCTCCCTCGTAAGAAATAGTGAACTGTGTCAATATTTTAATGATTGTTTGTTAAACAACTTTTTTAATTTTAGGACATAAATTCTGCAAACAAATGACAGAGTTGGTCTGATGTTTGGATAAGGATCAGTGTTCACTGAGTATTATATGTTTATTAGTTTTCGAGTTAGATTGCAATTCATCGGTCCTCTTTTGAGCCAAACGCACTATACCTGAGACTGGCAATGTGTTAGATGCACTCTCTCCTGGCCAAACAGTGTCATAGAAGTCACATAATCCTCCGTTCTGTGTACAAGACCAGGAAAAACTGAAAAAGGGAAAACGAAAAGATTATTTGCAATGCAGCCTTTCTTATTCATCACTTGAAACTAATACAATCACTGATAAGGCAATACAATCCTATCCTGTGTTTTATAAAGTCACCACATCCTCAGGCGAACCCTGTAAAAAAGACCTCCAAGTGGGATAGTGTGACATCAAGAACAATCCCCTGTAATGTACAGACCATGTTGAGAACATGGCCAACTCATCTGCAGTTCCAACACTTTAATAATGCTTGTTGATTTACAAGCACTCTGCTAACACCAATGCGACATTCAGGCTCTATCCACAATTCCGTACATTCTCTAATGAGGCTGTTCTATTACTTTTCATTCAAGAATGCTGAATCCTTTTGTCCATTTTAATTATGACGCAGCAATTTTCAGTGAACTCAAGTAGTTGTGTTTCAGGTTTCCAATGCTAACTAATCTTATCTTGTATAAAATTAATACACTTACTACATATACACATGTAACTAACCGCCTCCGTGGTGTAGTGGTTATAGTGTCCGCCCGGAGAGCGGAAGGTCGCGGGTTCGATCCCCGACCACGTCATACCAAAAGACGTTAAAATATGGTACTTGTTGGTCCCTGCCTGGCGCTTGGCATTAATGGGTAAAACAAGGACTGGTCGGCTCGGAGTCAGTATAATGTGTGTGAGTGGGGTATTCATGTTTCACTGCGGCATGGTATCTCAGTGGGCTAGCACTATAAAACCAGCTTAAGTCTGGACCAGTACAAGCAGCCGCACATACACATACACATGCATGCACGTCGTCATATGAGCGAAATATTCTCAAGCACGACGGTAAACCCAATTTCACCTCACCTCACCTGACACATGTAACTGACCAACATACATAGTGGTATCCCACTGTGATGCATCTGTTCTAGCCCCTTTCTGTATACAGGGCCTAGATTTTTTAAGCTCTCTTAGAGCTAAGATAGTCGTAAGTGCCAGACATTAACATTAACTTACGACTATCTTAGCGGTAACAGAGCTTCGAAAATCTAGACCCAGGAGTCTTGGAGTAACTGTTGGTTACAAGAAAAATGTGATTTCTTTATCATGTTCGGTGTGTACTATTCTAGTTACTACACTTTCACTAACATGAATGAACCTTGTATTTGATGTTTGACTGTTCAGAGTCTGGGGTATAGCTTGTGTGTACCTCATGTTTAACTGGTTATCAGAATGTGGGCTTTAGCCTGTTCGTACCTCATGTTTGACTGTTCCTGAGAGTCTAGAATATACCTTGTTTGTAACTAATGTTTGACTGTTCAGAGTCTAGGATATAGCTTGTTTGAACCTGATGTTTGACTGTTCAGAGTCAAGGATTTACCTTGTTTGTACATGATGTTTGACTGTTCAGAGTCTAGGATATAGCTTGTTTGTACCTGATGTTTGACTGTTCAGAGTCTAGGATATAGCTTGTTTGTACCTGATGTTTGACTGTTCAGAGTCTAGGATATAGCTTGTTTGTACCTGATGTTTGACTGTTCAGAGTCTAGGATATAGCTTGTTAGTACCTGATGTTTGACTGTTCAGAGTCTAGGATATAGTTTGTTTGTACCTGATGTTTGACTGGTCCTGAGAGTCTAGGATATAGCTTGTTTGTACCTGATGTTTGACTGGTCCTGGGAGTCTAGGATAAAGCTTGTTTGTACCTGATGTTTGACTGGTCCTGGGAGTCTAGGATATAGCTTGTTTGTACCTGATGTTTGACTGGTCCTGGGAGATGGGGTTATAGCTTGTTTGTACCTGATGTTTGACTGGTCCTGAGAGTCTAGGATATAGCTTGTTTGTACCTGATGTTTGACTGGTCCTGGGAGTCTAGGATATAGCTTGTTTGTACCTGATCTTTGACTGTTCCTGAAGTCTAGGATATAGCTTGTTTGTACCTGATGTTTGACTGGTCCTGGGAGTCTAGGATATAGCTTGCTGGTACCTGATCTTTGACTGTTCCTGAAGTCTAGGATATAGCTTGTTTGTACCTGATGTTTGACTGGTCCTGGGAGTTGGGGTTATAGCTTGTGCTTGCATTCAGCACAAGGGGGTGATTTCTTGGCAGTGTCAGGAAAGATGCAGATGGAGACAGAGACGCCACTAACGGTTCTGCAAGCATTTTCAAATAACCCTGAAACAACAAGATGAAAACAGTGTAACAAAACCTTTGAATCTATTCATGAAGACTTCGTAACATCATCCCATCGCTAGATAACATTTATATACCACTACCATCGACAATCAGTGAGATGTAATCCACATAGAGTTCAACTTCAGGTCATGTTCATGTGTTCCATACCATTAGGGACCCTGTAAAATGGATTTGCTCTGTGGGTATCAATAGTTTCAGATGCATACCTTGGAATATTGAGTTTACAGTTTGTAGTTAGTCTAAAGTTGCGAATTATGATAGGTATAATCTAATTATTTTGAAAATTGACTTGCAAAGTATCTGTGTAAAAGAAAATGAGTACTGGTAGTTTATCCACATCATAAATGTTCTGTCACAAGAATGAGTGAGTGAGTGAGGGAATGAGTTTAGAATTACCCCGCTTTAAGCAATATGAATACACAATGCCAATTAGCACTTTTTCTCTTTTACACAGGTACTAAGGAATATTCCAGCAATACACCGGAAATGGCTTTCAGACATTGTTCCTATTTGGGGAATTGAACTCGGGTCTTCAGTGTGACGAGTGAATGCTTTAACCACTAGGCTAGCCACCGCCCCATGACAAGAATGAAGAGTGAGGAGAAACAACATCATTTTTATATCCTTATGAAGTTACTGGCTCAAATTCTCTATTGTGGAGCACAGGCAAATACTCCAGTTCCAAGCACATTGCACAATTTCATGTCAACTATACAGAACACCTGAGGCCTATCATGCTGATATGTACTAGTTACATGAATCAAGAGTTTTATGCCTCTAAAAACTACACTACATTTTACAGCATTTTATTAGTGTAGAAATGTACTCAACCTGACCAAAACAGTGATCACCTATGGGAAAGAAACATTTGCCTGTGAACTAAGACTTTGATCAAATTCAGAGGTTTAAGCTGTTTGAAAAACATTTGAATGACAGGTGGCAACATACAACACATATTATATTTGGGATTACACTTCCTCAGTAAACTACAGATTCTAGTACTTTTGTTGGGTTTAGTCACGAACCCACACCTTCACAGTCAGGCACCTAATGATAATCACCAGCACACAAAGTCAGCCATCAAACCCATTCAGCCACCGCAGCTTTGATATTAAATGGCATTATGTATTCATGAGTGGCAATAAATTCACTGTATCTGTTTCATTCGACAATAATAATGAGAATATATAGCGCGCCTTTTCCAGGCTAGAAATTCTGCTCAAAGTGCACAATCTGATCATTATTACCTCGGATAACCCAAGCTGCCTGTTGGGCGCTAGAAGTCTCATGACTTATTTCACTGGGTACCCATTTTCTACTTGGGTAACAGAGGCAATTTTGAACAAACTCACTTGCCTAAGGACAATGTAAGGTAGTAGTATACACAATGGGGCTACAGGAACAGGTCCCTCCCAAGAGCTCAATTTATTTAATTTTTTTTAAATTGAGCCCTTTGGGAAGTCCCTCATCCTGTAGCCCCATTGTGTATACTACTACTGAGGTGCATGCAAAATTTGATGAAAATCGGTCAAATAGTTTCTGAAATATTTGACTTTTAAGTGAGCATGGGGTTGGTAGGGTGAAATGTTTGTTTTTTAAAAAGAAGAAGTTTTCTATGACAACGGGAGGGTTTTGAACTCAGTATCCTCTACACGAGCAGACTGGCTCTGCTAGCGTCAGTGTATTAAAACTATAAATAGCTTATGCACCTTCTAAGCTGATGAATGTCGATTCTAAAATCATGGATTGTGAATTCTAAAAAAATTTCAGCGTCCATCAATACATTTATCGTGTTCAGCAGTGTTTAGACCACCAACCAGCATTGTTTTTGTATTTTATTAAACCTTTATTTGAGGTGAAAAGCCTTCTAACATATTCGAGGCGAGAAGGCGGAAGTGAACTGACTGATTTGTGTTATTATAGACGGAGCTCAACTTAGACATGCAATTCAAAAATAGATTGTGGTTTCTAAAACAAAATTCAGCGTCCATTGACCTGTTTGTCGTGTTCAGCGTATTAAAACTCCCTGGGAGTATCGTGTTTGTATTTTATTGGAGGTAAAAAGCCACCAAACTGTGAAGCGGAAGTAGAATTTCTGATAAACTGTTTCTAGAAGTCTGGTACGCTCAGCTTATAAAACGGGTTCAAGACATCCTTTGCGTTCCTATAGACGGAGCCCAGTTTAGGAGGATGATGAAATCTCAGGAAAGACCTGTTAAACCAAAATGTAACTATCAAGTCCCTGGTAGCGTAATCGGTTGAGGTGTGGACTTAGGATGTGTAGTTGCACAGCTATGCATTGTCTGTTAGTATCTTACCGTTGCCTTAGTGGGTTCCTTGCAACTTTCATGTGTTTCGTTGGTGGTAGCAAGGAATCAGGAGCACATCAGCTGCGCTCAGCTGAATTGGGGCACTCTCGTGGTGAGAGAAAGGTAGCCGACACATATGTCTCCTTGGGAGAAGTTGCGCAACCTTCATCTTTCTACTTCACCCTAGGGGAATTGTGGCTACCAGGGATGTTTTGCTACTTTTTTTTAAAACCTTTCTATGTTTCTATGCCTTTCTATCTTTACCTATTGTTACAACCACCACGACTGTTAGGTGAGTAAGTCGCTTTTAGCAAATATTCCAGCAATACCAGACATGGGATTCACACAATGCAAATGAAGCTGTTTGATACTTATGTACATGAAGCTGTTTGATAATTATGTACATCATCTCACTGATTACATTGTTAAAATTGAGTGAACTGTCTTTATTCATATATTCACACCGTTAACATCATCAAGGGTGCTCACTAAGCCTCGGCTGTCTACTCGGCTGTGATGTTGATGACCGCGAAGCAATTTATCATGAATCTTCTCCGATAATAATTTGTTTGGTTTTCGTAAGGAAGGCTTGTCAGGCCTGTTGCTTCCCTTGTTCTATGAATTTCTTTGTCTCGTCTTCGCTGATGAGGTCATTTTTACGAGACTTGGTCCGAATCTCTTGTTTCATTCTGTGATATTTTGCGATTTCTGATAGCATCAAACGAAACTCTTCCTCGGAGATTTTAGTGTTGGTGAGCGTGGTGGTTCGCTCCGGCTAGAATTCTAATTTCGTCGTGTTTCAATGCTTTACGTTGCAGTCTGCGAGATATGAACTTAAGGGTCAATCCCATCAACCCTACCACTCCAGCTGTTATTTCGATGCCTAGCACCATGGGTGCGTCAACGATGGTGGATAATAACCCGATACCTGCTACGCCTAACCCCATGCTGACTGAAACCAGAGCGCTGTCAACACCGTCCACGGAATTGACGGCCTTGTGATATTTTTTTCTGTAATGCCGACTGGGTATCGCGTTCACATTCTAGTTGTTGTTTGATCTCACATATCTGTCGCAAGGTTTACGGTTTCCAGTGTTTTTGTTACTTCATCCACGACTGGGTACATTCCCATCCTGTGTGTGTGTATATATATATTTTTATAAAATATTATTTCATTGGTTTTCCGTTAATATCCGATCGATGTATTTGAGGCTGATAATGTTTAGATTATCGTACACGTAAATATTCGAGACATGAATCACATTTTTTTCTATAACACGCACTCCATCGAGGCTTATAAAGGGTGTCGATCCCGGTCTTATGACGATACGACACCGTTGGTGATTGTGTCTGGTGAACCAATGTATTATCAACCCAGTCAAAAGTGTTCGTTATTACCTCCCACGAGCGTCAGCGAGATAGACATCTATTACGAGCATGGTGTGTGATTTGATAAGTCAAATTTAAATTTAAAAAATCCTGTTGGTAATCGGGTATGTCAAACCGTAAATATGAAGCCATGTCGTTTGAAGCTAACATGTTGCCCGTGTGACCTGGTATTCGTAAAACTTGTACATCAAACTCTGGATTGAAAGACGTGAGAAGGATCCCGTTGTTTGTAATTTTGGAGACGTAACCATTGTTTTTAAAAGATATGTGGGGTGAGGTGAGGGTCATGTCGATCAACCAGTCTGGCTGTTTGAAGTCTGCTAGTTACACCCGCTCCTTTAGGTTGTCTTTTAAGTGCAGGATGTACAAGGTGTTTTCCTCACCAGGCAGATCGAGATCAGCTAGTGTTACGTTGGGATGATGGTTGTTCATCGGTTGTTTTATACAAAATTATGAAATGGTTTTCAATTGGTTATCGGATAATTCCTCGGACATGCACTTTAAACCCATGAGATGTATGTTGTCGAGTAGGAAAATTTTGGTGAGCAATATCGTGTCTTCCACGGTCACGGTGACTCCCTGCAGACCGGTGTAGGCGTTAACATTCACCCGCACGTAAACGGAGCAAACTTGGTATTGTTGGTGTTTGGCCCAGCGGAGATTGATCCCTTTCACGATTTCGACGACGTTACGTGCCAACGGCGGTTCGCCGAGGTAGACTTGGATGTACAGCGTGGATTTTGCTGGCAGATTTTCCAGGACCTCTACCACCCTGTCAAATTCCAACACCATCTGCAACAGGTCAGGTAGTGATCTTTGTTGTCCATGAAAACGTGGGGAGAGTCAAGCGTGATGTTGAGATTCCAGTCGATTTGGGATGGCACTAACACCCATTTGTTGTCGTCGTTGAAGATGAGAGTGTACTGCGTGTTTCTGGAGACGGCCGTGGTTTCGACGTCGTCCAGGTGGAACAGCCTGCCACGAAAAGCTGGGGTTATCGCGTGCTGTTGACCGCTCTTTCGGTATCGATGAAATCACCTAGGTCGTTGCCACCACCACCACCAGTGGCAGTAGAGGGTGGCAGTTTGACGCGTTCGTAAATGCTGTTTTTCAGTTGCAAGGCGTACAGTTTGCCGTCGACTCCGGGTTCGTCGAATCCGTGCGTGTCCCCGAAGTCCGAGATCGCTATGTTGGCGCATTTTCTAATGCATGTTCCTGGACCATGAGACTCCGTCATTGCTGTATGTGCAGCGTCACGCTAAGATATCCTATTTTCAATTC